GTTATTGCCCGCTAAATAGAGCCACAGAGTTACAGGACCTTTTGAAGAGACACAGTTGTTTTGAATCAAAGTGTATGGAAGATGTGTCAGGGCCCCTGAATAAAAGTAAATCCTGAGAAAAACTACAGGACTCTCTCTTGTATGAACTGATATGAAGCAATCATTTAGATCAGTTTTCAGGTATGTGTTGGTACTCTAGGAGTCAAGACTGAGACTTTAGCCTTGAAACATCAAACGTTAAAATGTAGCTTCATTCTTTCACTGTGGTCATTTAAAGGGTTAAAAAGAGTCCTGAGCTGATTAATGACATTAAAAATGACTTTTGGAGCCGTTTGTTTTTTAAATTATTTTATTATTTGATTAGCATGCTTGCGTTGTTTGCATGTGTCAACCAGAAGCAGTCTGCATGTCTCTGACTCTGTTTGCATGTGGTATCTGTTTGTGCTTCTTGGAAAAAGTTGCTTAAAATGTGAAACAGCGTTTTGTTTCATCTGAGAAATTACCACAAACCTTCACTCTGTAGGAACACTGCTCCGGTGTAACCGTTAGCCTCCTGTGGTAGATGCTAACTGTGTGTTAGCGTTGTATCACAATGTCAATCAGTGAGTGAAGAGGGTGGCTTTGATGGCAACACTGCTTTTCATTTAGGAAAATGAAAAAGTACTTCAGTCTAAACAAATATAATCCTAACATTTATGAAGAAGACAGAAAAGATGATGCTAACCGGACGAAAGGATGATCTAAATGTAGACTTTCAGACCTGAGTAACAACTGATGTGAAATGACGTGAAGGGGCTGGATGAACTGCTGTTTTGTATCTCTGCTTTATGCCAAATGTAAGATGAAGCCTTTTGAGTGTGTGTGTGTGTGTGGGGGTGGGGGGGGGGGGGGGGAATCAAACTTTTACTTTTAATTCTGCTCATTTGAAGATTTGTTTTGCTAGAGCAGGTGCCACACATTGGTCAGATTCATGCGGATGAGTTTGGCTAAATCAAAATAACGCCAAGGGTGTTTTCCTCTCTATTATTTGAATAACTTTGCATGTTTCTTTGCATACGCCATGCTACATCTTGGTCAAATCAGTACAAATGAAACCAGTTGGAAGCTAGCATGTGGAGGAAACTCAGAAAAGCACTTTTACTGAGCTGCACATTGTTTTGTGTTTCTTTATTTTGACATCTTTACAGATTTTTTTAAATATAATTAAATGCCAAATCTTTGTTTGGTTTAGCTGGTAATTGGATGTTAGCCTATCCAGCAAACCCTGACTGTCTCTCCTCCTGCTGCGCTAATAAGTAATGGCATGCAGTTGTGTTTTAGGTGCAATAAACCATCACATCAAACCAGCAGGTGAACACTCAAGTGATGTGCAGACAGATGAGGATGGGTTCTTCAAAGTTTACATCACACGTTGGGAAATGAGCGTAAATACAGATTTCCTTTGCAGCTGATAAACAGCCAGCTGCTGAGAAGGACGGACAGGAAAGAGCGAGTGAAGCGTTTGAGTCAGTCAAAGCAGGAGGTGAAATCTTCCTGCAGCAGGCCCTTCTAGAGCGAGCCGGGCGGTGGAGGCTGCCTGATAACCTTATCATGGCCTCGCCACACTGTAACGGCTGGAAGTGGCGAGTGGCGAGGCGTGGAGGACAGGACGGGCTTCAGCTGAGATAGCACCAAAATGCTGCCACAAACAGAGAAAAGGAGAAAGTGCAGAAACATCAACGCCATCTTCACCACATGAAACAGCAGATTCGCAGTCATGGTCCATGAAGGAAGTCCATGCTGTTACCAGAGCACAATCCACACCTCACACTGAAGTTCATGTGCTGATCACAATTTAGAGACAGCAGTAGATCAGGAAGTAAAGTGGGCCGCCCAGTAATTGGAAAATTGCGGGTTCAATCCTGGCTCCCCGCCAGAGAATGCTGCTGTTGTGTCCTTGGGCAAGACACTTAACCCACCTTGCCTGCTGGTGGTGGTCGGAGGGACCGGTGGCGACAGCGCTCAGCAGCCCCGCCTCTGTCAGTGCGCCCCACGGCAGCTGTGGCTACATCGTAGCTCATCATCACCAGTGAGTGAATGTGTGTAGGAATGGGTGAGTGACTGATTATGTTATAAGGCACCTTGGGGGGTTGTAGCACCTTAAGAAGGGGCTTTTTACCATAAAACTACCCTGATTAATATTTCCTACCAAAAATGTTGCTTTAGTTGGTTATTACCCAACCTGCTGATCACTCATCCAACTTCCTGCTCTTAGGAAACCAACGTAAACTCACATCCTACTTCCAGGTATGCTGGTACACATAGGACATTTTATATGAAATATTCAATAAAAACGACTCTTTGAAATGAAAACAACTCGACTACAGGACCGGTGTTAGAAACCCTCTAAAGCCGAAGCTCAAACACAGATGGAAGAGGACAAACTTGAACTAAAGTAAACAGTGTAACATCAGACAATTATCCAGCAGCATCTTAAATAACTCGGTAAACACACAGACAACCGTAGAGCCGCCTGATGGCATGCTAATCTGTTTACAGTTCCAGGGTGGGACGGCTGAGAAGCGCCTGTCTAACAACACCAGATTTCTCAAATTACTCTGAATACAAGGTTTTTATTCCCCAGTAGCTAAAAAGTATCAGTTAATAAATAATGTTAACATGAATCAATAAAAAGGACTTTAGTTTATACAAATGATTTAGGAGGCCTGGTGTTGCGTGGCTTTGATGTTTGGTTATGCTGCCACCATGTGGACAAAAGATGCCACAGCAGCAAATATTTTTGGAAAACCCTGTTTTGTCCCACATTGGACAAATTCAGGTGTACCAGCGACAGTTGAAGGTAAACAAGTGTGCATGTGTGAACAAAGGCGGGAAGAGAGGGAGAAAAAAAAAGAAAACTCAAAACCACAGCAGGACAATTTTTCACTTAAAAAAAGTAATGAGAATAATTATATATATATATATATATACAGATACATATTCATATATATGTAAATGCACTACTGGAGAGGCTGAGAGACTGGGTAGGCCTATCAGGATCTGCTCTGGAGTGGTTCTCCTCTTATCTCTCTGAGCACTCCTTTTCTGTGGCCGTCTCCAAGTTTAGGTCCTCCACCACCTCTCTTACCCATGGTGTCCCACAAGGTTCTGTGCTGGGGCCTCTGCTCTTCCTCCTCTGTCTGCTTCCTCTTCAGCACATCCTGAGCTCCTTCAAAGGAATCTCCTACCATCTTTATGCAGATGACATCCAACTGTACATCTCCTTTAAGCCCCATGAGATGTCTATGCTGCAGCTGTTACACACCTGCTTAGACTCTATCAAAACCTGGATGGTGGGAGCTTTCTTCAGCTGAATGAAGATAAGACTGAGATCCTCATCTGTGCCCCAGACAAGCTGGTTCCCAAAGTCAGAGACTCTCTTGGTCAGCTTGCTTCCCACACCAAACCTTCTGTCAGGAATCCTGGCGTGACCTTTGACCCAGCTCTCACCCTGGATTCTCATGTCAGTTCTCTTGTTCGCTCCTCCTTCTTCCATCTCAGGAACGTTTCTAAGCTGAGTCCCATTCTGTCCTGCTCTGAACTTGAGACAATTCTCCACACCTTCATCTCCTCACGCTTAGACTACTGTAACTCTCTTTTCACGTGTCTGAGCAGAACCTCCCTGAACCATCTACAGGTGGTTCAGAACGCCTGTGCTCGGCTTCTGACCAAGTCCTCCAAACACACCCACATCACCCCGCTTCTCCTCCAGCTTCACTGGCTGCCAGTCAACTTCAGGGTTCATTTCAAGATCCTGGTTCTGGTCTATAGGGCCTTACATGGACAAGCACCATCTTACATTGGTGATCTTCTTAGTCCCTACACCCCCAGCAGGTCCCTGAGGTCCAGTGACCAAAGCCTACTGGTTGTGCAGCACCAGGCTAAAGGTCAAAGGTGACAGATCATCTGCTGCTGTGGCCCCCAGACTCTGGACCTCTCTCCCCCTGAGCCTGAGATCAGTGGACTCAGTGGTCTCCTTTAAAAAGCAGCTGAAGACTCACTTGTTCAAGCTGGCTTTTGTATGACCTTCTTCACCTCTCTCTCTTTATTCTGCTCTCCCCACCTATTCCACCTTCCTCAGGATCCACTGATTTCCCTCTTTCCTGTTCACTCTCTCTCTTTCTTAACATTTTTTCTTTTAAATACCAATTGCTTATTTTTGCTCCTTTTAAATATATTTTGAATCATTTTCTAAATTATTTTTTATAATTTTACATTTTTTGTTTTTGTGAAGCACCTCGTGATTTTTATCTTGAGAGGCGCTATAGAAATGATATTTTCTTCTTCTTTCTTCTTCTTCTTCTATATATACATACATGTACATATGCATATGTATGTATGTATGTATATATATATATATATATATATATATATATATATATACATATGCATATACTGTATATGTATATATATATATGTATGTATATATACATACATACATGTACATATATATGTATATGTATGTATATATATATATATACATATACATACATATATATTTACATACATGTACATATATATGTATATGTATATATATGTATGTATATATATATATATATATATATATATATATATATATATATATATATATAAAACATTAAGTAAGATGTCTGATATAATTATTTTGTGTAGATTCTTAAAACTTTGCTCTCAACAAAAGAAGAATTGTTTGAAGTAAAATGGTTTGCTGTTGCAGCTATACGTTCTACAAACACACCACAAATAAGAAAACACAATGACATACTGATATGACACCTAAATAAGGTGTGTTTCTGATATTATACAATTGAACCTAACATAAATGCTATGTTTTGTTTTACACTCCATCTTGTTGGAGCCTTAAATTGTACTCCCTAAAACAAAAATTATGATTTGGTTCATTTGTTTACTCATTCTGATTTAATGGTGAAACGTTTTGAAAAATAAACACGGAACCTTCTGAGTACGCACGTGTTTCCGCACGACGTTACTTTTCACGTGGACACGAGCTTTCCGTCGTTTAGCGCGAGCTCGTACGTGTTCTCTTTGATGTAGCTGTTGGATTCATCGCTTAAACATGTCTGAAACAAACCCAAACGCCGCTCTGGCGCACTTCAACCGTCAGACGCTGGACTTCACTCTGAAAGAACTGAGTCTCTCCGAACGGGCGGACGGAGACGTCGCCGCGCGGGGAGGCTCGTCTTCCGTGGAGCTGCGGGGCAGCAAGAAGCTGGTGTGCGTGGAGTATCCGGCGGTGGTGAAGAGCGTGGAGAAGATGCTGGAGACTCTGGGAGGAGAACAGACCGTGAGCAAAGTAAGCGGGACTAACAGCTGGGTCTGACTGTTCCAGCTGTGCAGACTTGTGTCTGAAACCTGCGTGTCAGTTACCTGGTAGCGTCAGACACACTGATCCAGATGTTACCTGGTAGCGTCAGACACACTGATCCAGATGTTACCTGGTAGCGTCAGACACACTGATCCAGATGTTACCTGGTAGCGTCAGACACACTGATCCAGATGTTAAATGAGTTACCTGGTAGCGTCAGACACACTGATCCAGGTGTTACCTGGTAGCGTCAGACACACTGATCCAGATGTTACCTGGTAGCGTCAGACACACTGACCCAGATGTTACCTGGTAGCGTCAGACACACTGATCCAGATGTTACCTGGTAGCGTCAGACACACTGATCCAGATGTTACCTGGTAGCGTCAGACACACTGATCCAGATGTTACCTGGTAGCGTCAGACACACTGACCCAGATGTTACCTGGTACCGTCAGACACACTGATCCAGATGTTACCTGGTAGCGTCAGACACACTGATCCAGATGTTACCTGGTAGCGTCAGACACACTGATCCAGATGTTAAATGAGTTACCTGGTAGCGTTAGACACACTGATCCAGATGTTAAATGAGTTACCTGGTAGCGTCAGACACACTGATCCAGATGTTAAATGAGTTACCTGGTAGCGTCAGACACACTGATCCAGATGTTACCTGGTAGCGTCAGACACACCGATCCAGATGTTACCTGGTAGCGTCAGACACACTGATCCAGATGTTACCTGGTAGCGTCAGACACACCGATCCAGATGTTACCTGGTAGCGTCAGACACACTGATCCAGATGTTAAATGAGTTACCTGGTAGCGTCAGACACACTGATCCAGATGTTAAATGAGTTACCTGGTAGCGTCAGACACACTGATCCAGATGTTACCTGGTAGCGTCAGACACACTGATCCAGATGTTACCTGGTAGCGTCAGACACACTGATCCAGATGTTACCTGGTAGCGTCAGACACACTGATCGAGATGTTACCTGGTAGCGTCAGACACACTGATCCAGATGTTAAATGAGTTACCTGGTAGCGTCAGACACACTGATCCAGATGTTAAATGAGTTACCTGGTAGCATCAGACACACTGATCCAGGTGTTACCTGGTAGCGTCAGACACACTGATCCAGATGTTACCTGGTAGCGTCAGACACACTGACCCAGATGTTACCTGGTAGCGTCAGACACACTGATCCAGATGTTACCTGGTAGCGTCAGACACACTGATCCAGATGTTACCTGGTAGCGTCAGACACACTGATCCAGATGTTACCTGGTAGCATCAGACACACTGATCCAGATGTTACCTGGTAGCGTCAGACACACTGATCCAGATGTTACCTGGTAGCGTCAGACACACTGACCCAGATGTTACCTGGTAGCGTCAGACACACTGATCCAGATGTTAAATGAGTTACCTGGTAGCGTTAGACACACTGATCCAGATGTTAAATGAGTTACCTGGTAGCGTCAGACACACTGATCCAGATGTTAAATGAGTTACCTGGTAGCGTCAGACACACTGATCCAGATGTTAAATGAGTTACCTGGTAGCGTCAGACACACTGATCCAGATGTTAAATGAGTTACCTGGTAGCGTCAGACACACTGATCCAGATGTTACCTGGTAGCGTCAGACACACTGATCCAGATGTTACCTGGTAGCGTCAGACACACTGACCCAGATGTTACCTGGTAGCGTCAGACACACTGATCCAGATGTTAAATGAGTTACCTGGTAGCGTTAGACACACTGATCCAGATGTTAAATGAGTTACCTGGTAGCGTCAGACACACTGATCCAGATGTTAAATGAGTTACCTGGTAGCGTCAGACACACTGATCCAGATGTTAAATGAGTTACCTGGTAGCGTCAGACACACTGATCCAGATGTTAAATGAGTTACCTGGTAGCGTCAGACACACTGATCCAGATGTTACCTGGTAGCGTCAGACACACTGATCCAGATGTTACCTGGTAGCGTCAGACACACTGATCCAGATGTTACCTGGTAGCGTCAGACACACTGATCCAGATGTTAAATGAGTTACCTGGTAGCGTCAGACACACTGATCCAGATGTTACCTGGTAGCATCAGACACACTGATCCAGATGTTAAAGGAGTTAGTTGTGGAGACGCAACCTGTAAGAACTGCAACACAAGCTAGTTCGTGAAGTACCAGGTAGAATTATTAGTTCCCTGTTTGCTTGGATAGATGGATGGTGCTGCTTCAATAGGAATGATTAAGACTTGTAATCCTGTCCTCTCTCTCTCTCTCTCTCTCTCTCTCTCTCTCTCTCTCTCTCTCTCTCTCTCTCTCTCTCTCTCTCTCTCTCTCTCTCTCTCTCTCTCTCTCTCTCTCTCTCACACACACGCACACATTCTCTCTCACACACACACACACACACACACACACACACACACACACACACACACACACACACACACACACACACACACACACACACACACACACACACACACACACACACACACATTCTCTCTCACTCAATTTCACTCTGTTATGTTCCCTCTGGCGTCTAGGAGTGGCGAGGGGAGAACACAGAGAAATAAACGAATGTAAAATAAAAGGGGATGAATACAGAGGGATGGTGTCTGGTTGTGATGGTGATGAATGAATGGAAGGAGGTTAAAAAATGGCAGTTCAAAAACAAAAGGTTGGATCAAGGGTATTACAATAATTAAACTGGAGGAGAAGCGGGGTGATGTGGGTGTGTTTGGAGGACTTGGTCAGAAGCCGAGCACAGGCATTCTGAACCACCTGTAGCGATAAATATAGATTTATATCTATATTTATCAAATGTGATACCCCCCTGTGGGTACGAGGCACAATGAAAGTGGGTAAAGGGGATGCATCGGAAACATGCACCAAGACACCGTTGCTCATCTTCAAGAAAGAACGTTCCTTGAAAAGCGCATTAAGTCCTGGTATGTACTTAAGCTCATCATCTGATGGAGCAGCGCGATTAGGGTTGGACAGTTAGCCAATAATTCTACTAATGGCTACATCCATGGACTGCAGGTCTATCAGATTATTGTCTGACAGGCAGGGCTCCACCGTAAGAGCGTCAGCTGTTTGGTGTGGAGGATCTAAGTCCTGGGTAGCAGCTCGTGCCCGAGTGACCACCGGAAAGTTTTTAATGGGAGCTTGCATGGTAGGATGCTGATTGATAGCAACCTGTTCTGCATCTGTCCCAAGTGACAACATGACATCACTCACCTGAGTTTCGTGGATAGTCACCCCATTCTCTACATGATAACCCTGTTCAGGGGTTGATGGTTCCAAACTACGGAGGTAGTTTTCCTCTTGGGTGAGCAAGGTCGAAATGGGCTCAATGGTCTCAGCGGTTTCAGGTGAGTCCTCACTCTGGATTGCTGAATCAGATTGGTTGGTGATTTCAACCTTTAATGTGGTTATCTGGTTGAGGCATCTGGGAAGGGATCTCAATGCCCACGCATATCCTGGGCCATCTGAGCTCAGGAATTCACATGATAGGGTGGGGCCAGGTTTCACAATGAGCTCACCCGAAACTTTGGCTGAATAGGACCCACACCCACCCTCAATGTGTTTATGTAGAAGATCATCAGGGGGTCTTTTGTTCCCTCTTCGGGGGAAAACTCCCACTGGGTTTAAATCTGGGACTCTCCACCATTTCACCTCAGAACTGAAGAAGCCTCTCGGATGAGAGGTGAAACATCTTCAAGCAACTCAAAGAAGTCCAGACGCTTTTCTTTCAAGCTCATTAGACTGTTTCTGTTAGCGTTTGCTGCCTGGAAGAAGCACTAGCCGCTGCAGCCGCAGGCTTTTTAGCTTTAGCTGGCTCTCATTGTATTGTTTGGGATTCCTTCTTTTCAAGTGATTAAACAAGTTTGTGGTGTTGCCATCACTTGCCTTGACGCTCTCCTTGCAAACTTTGCAAATGACGTTTCGCTGCTCTTTGTCATTTGGTGAAAAACCAAACCAGTTTCATATAATGGACGAGGCGTTTGTTGGGTAATTAATTTTACTTATCCATAACCCTGGAACCTGAAATAAACACACACCACGAAAGGGAGACATTTTACACTGAATTAGCCAAATGAGGGGGAGACCACCAATGGCACTAACCCTCTCCAGCGCTAGATGCCATGCGACTCCCCCTTTCTTCAGAGTTTCCAGTGGCTTTAATCAGCAAAGGATGGAGAAGGCGGGGCCTTCTCAAGTTACATACAGGTACACCCATCTCCTAGGGTTACCATGGTTACCACATTCCAGAGACACTGGCTTCAGGCATTACAAATTTCACAGGAGCTCGTCAATCTCACAGAAAGAAAGATTCATAGACCAACCAACATGAACATTTAATAAAAATACCTAACAGCGTTCCTCTTCGGAACGAAAACCTCGTTGTCGCTCTCAGCTGCGGCCGAAGCCATGTTTGTTCACACACAGGTGAAAACAAGCGGGGCACTAATATATTACTATGACTCACTCTGATTGGTTAAGGGTCAAACAAAGGCGTGTCATTCGCCGGAGGTAACTTCCCTTTTCATTCAGAGGCAGAATTTCAACAGCAGAGCTGTGAATCGTGATAAAAAGGTCTCTAAAAAATGACAGACCATCAGATGTGTAGATCGTAAAACGGTCTAAAATCGTCATATCGCCCAGCCCTAACTGGAAGCTATCATAGATGTTATGTTCATCAAGAGCAGCTGTGAGTTGTTTAGCCACAACCTTTTCCAAGATCTTGGAGATGAACGGAAGTTTAGAGATGGGTCTGAAGCTGCTATGGAGAGAGGGGTCGAGACTCGGTTTTTTAAGAAGCAGGTGGATTACAGCGTTCTTAAAGTAAGCAGGGACCTGACCAGAGACCAGAGAAGCATTAATTATAGAGAGCACGCTGGGACCGATGGACTGAAAAGCACTTTTAAACAAAGATGAGGGTAAGATGTGGAGGGGGCATGCAGAGGTCTTCATAGAGTTAACTAGTTTGGTTAACCCAGGCAAAGAAACAGGAGCAAAGCTATCTAGGATGATGGGCCTGGTTGGAGTCGGGAGAGGCAGCGATAAGGCTGAAGGAGAGATGCTAGATCTAACCTTATTGACTTTGTCCACAAAGAAAGACAGAAAGTTCTCACAGTCTGCAACAGAGTGGATGGAGGCTGTAGGAGAGTCAGGAGAGACGATGCTGCTGATGGTGTTAAACAGCACCTTGGGGTTCCCTTTGCTCTGGGACACCAGGTTGGAGAAATAGGAAACCCTAGCGTCTCTGACTGCAGAGTTAAAGGATGTCAGAAGATCCTTTAAGCCGGGCGTACACTGTGTGACTTTTTCACTTTTTTGAGCCGATTTTCCACTCGTGCGAGGATCCACGAGATCGGGGCGAGTTTTGTGCCGAGCGTCGTGTAGTGTACAGGGGGTTACGAGAGGCGATTAACACCAAGTGACCAGCTACCGATCAGCAGTCGTGAGCTCTCACAAACTTCTGGCGTGTTTGCTCATCCCTCGTGAGGGTATCGCACTGTTGAAGCGGCGCTGCGACCCAAAAAGCATCAGAACCGCTCACGGCGCATGCGCAATCATGCATCAACACCGCTCGCCCGCTATTTCCCTAATAACACACGTTGTTCGTTTTTGTTTCTACATGTTTTTTTTACTCACAAAGATTGTCAAGAAAGCGTGTTTGTCGTGTTCATGTCAAATTAAACTGATCACAAAACACAGATTTACTTTCTTTATTTCGTTTTCCTCATCCAACCCCCATAAATCCCTGTGTGTCCTCCTGCAGCACTCCCGAAGGACAACAGGCAAAACAAGACAAAAAAGTCTGACGTGTTGAGTAAAAACTGCTATTTTTAACATATTTTTAGGTCCGACGTGTTGCTACCAGACGTACAGTGTGAGCAGTCAGGTTGCGTCCGAGAACTGGGTAGTACAGTGTGAGCGCATGACTCGTGAGATCTGCCCTGCGAGGAAGTCGTACAGTTTGAGCTGAAGCTGAGTGCTACGAGTGAAAAAGTCGCACAGTGTACGCCCGGCTTTAGGTGCAGCAGATGGACGTGGAGATGGGTTTTCTTCCACAAACGCTCCATTTTTCTGCATTGGCGCTTCAGGCTGCGAAGGCTGTCATTAAACCAGGGAGTAGGGTTCGCTGCAGGAACTGATCTGGTTCTGACAGGACAGATGTTGTCCAGAATGGAGCGGCAGTGCTCGTTAAGCTGAGAAGTTAAGGAATCTGGGTCGTTATCAGAAGAACAGGGTGGATCAAAAGCAGCAGAAAAATTGCTAGCTGTGCTCTCATTAAGAAAACGAGAACTAACCATACGGCGAGCAGGAGGTGGGGACGCAGAAACTGACAAGTTAAAGGAAATGCAATGGTGATCTGAAATATAAACGTCCTCAGGACAAACACTGTCAGCATTTAGACTCAGGGTAAAACAAGGTCTAGAGTGTGCCCCCTGGTGTGTGTGGGGCCAGAAACATGCTGGGTAAAGCTGAAGGAGTCCATAAGGCTGGAGAAATTCATGGCAAAGAGATCAGAGGGATCATCAACCTGGATGTTAAAGTCACCAACAATCACCAGTCTGGACAGCTTCACAGTGGAGGATAGAAAGTCACTAAACTCCTGAAGGGAAATACTGTTCGAACCAGGTGGAAGATAGACCACAGCACAGTAGAACGGGTCCTCATGCCCGCTACTACAAATGATCAGTCAGATTGTTGCAAGAGAATCTCTTGTGATGCAGCCAGTGACTCCAACTCTGACCAGTCAGTGACCGACAATCTTCTGACGATGCCTGAAACCACAGCAAAGCTTCATGTAAAAGTAGTGATGACCTCTTATGTTTCTTCATGGAAAAGCCTTAGATCCATGTAGAGCTGAGCCGAGCCACGCTGAGCAGGAGCTGGTGGGAACAGGCTTACGGTAAGCTAACGTGCATTTGGCCTGTGGGAAGTATCCAGAGTTCCCAGAGAAAACCCACACATGCATGGAAGAACATGCCAACTCCATGCAGAAAGGCTGCAGCCAGGATTCTAACCAGCAGCCTTCTTGCTGCACATTTATAGATCTACCCACACAACCATTGTTCCCTAGTTTGAGTACTTTTGTAACTGAAGTTCTAACAGAAACATAGTTGTGGAAAATTATTAACAAAAATACTCTCATAGTTTCCTATTTTCATAATCCGGATTATTTCTCAAGAGTTGATTTACTAAAACGAGGACAGATCACATGAATCAGTCCCGAACAACATCATATAAATGAGCCTGATTTAGTCATTCGTCCTTATTTACATCCCATAGCTATCCAGGGCCAAATGCACAGAACTATAAATTAGGGCTGGGGGTAAACGATTATTTTTAAAACGATTATTCTGACGATTATTTTATCGAATAGTCGACTATTCTAATGACTATTTAGAAAATTAATCTAATGATTATTTTTCTATTGCACAATTAACAAAAACCAGAAAATCTCAAATAAATTCCTCAAAAAAATTGATAAATTCTTACTGTAAGAGAATAAACACTACAGGCCTTCCATTTTGTATAACACTGCGTTTATTGTGTTGCGGTTGGTTATGTTCTGGTGACGTGTAGAACTTGGGAGTGCAGGCTGCTGCCTGAGAGGTGGTAGAAGATGGAGTGTCTCCATGCTGCTTTGTTTTGGTCACTTATGTGCGTGAGGCGAGTGGTCTTACGGGTTAAACCAAACTCAGGTGATATTTTACACTAAACCAAAAACCCACAACACTCTAAATGTAATAAAAGGGAGATCTACACCACAAAAAAGATTAACTCTAAACCAAAACGTAACGGCTTATCCCAACGCAAGAAGCTGTTAGCGAAGATGCTAACAGTAGCTTTACCAACATTAAGTTCAAGTTACCAAGTTTAAATAAACCAAAAACACCCAGCAGCAAACAGACCAGCACGGAGGAGAGACTGCTACCACCAAAACAGCTCTCCTCATGTCTGAAAGAAGCTCCTTAATGAAGGGAGAAGCGCTCCCGGTGATTTTCTACATCTGCGATAGACACGAAGCAGCGCATCTGACCCCGGAAGTTGTTGTCCGTTGCCGGGAGACGAAGGCGGGCAAAACAGGAAAATAATCTAGTAGTGGACGGACGTTGTTCCGGGTCTTCGGTATTTGGCGGAGATGTTAGTGAAGGCGGAGAAGAGGGCGAACTAGAGGAAAAACAGGTAGATTCTTCCTCTATTTACAAACTCCTGGGGATGCAACAAGTGGGCGCGGTGCGTCGACTTCCGGATCTGACGTCGACAAATTTTTAGAATCGAGCCGTCGACTTCGTCGAGGCTTCGCTACAGCCCTACTATAAATTATTAAATAATAGTTTTCATGATCATATTTAAACTTTTTTTGGGAAAAATCATAAAATTAATAAACAAATATGTGTTTTAAACGAGGCATTAATGTACAAATGATTACTGAAATTATTTATTAGCATTAATAAGTAAGCTACATTTAAAAAAATAAATGTTATCAAACATATTCTTGAGAAGAAAAGCGTAAATGTTATTATCGTGATTAAGGTAGGGTTCGGGCTGCTGTATGAAAAAAAGATGGCTGCCCAAAGGTTTCTGAACCCCACCCCCACGATAACAGCTGTAACTGGGAGCGTACCAGTGTGGAATCTGGTGAAACACCAACAAAATTACAAATTTAGGGATTTATTCTTCCTATCTTAGCAAAAATTTTGCTTCATACAATCACTTATACTTTATTTCATCTTTCCAATGTATCCTTTAAATGAGTGGTTGACCTGCCAGTGAAAGGGTTAACTGGTGTGTTTGTGTTTTGGGGAGTTGGTGTTTAGCGTGGCCGTTACGCTGTTTTGTTTGACTGAAGTTAAATCTGTGATTGTCTCACACAGCTGTGCCTGTTTCCTGTTTGTCTCACAGACTTTCAGTGACCCAAGCAGGCGCCTCGAGCTGCGTTTCCGACCTCAGGATCCTTTCTGCCACTCAGTGTGCGGAAACCGTCTCCCATCGACCAACCTCCTCCTAAGGGTGAGACGGCGCGTACGAAAGAAAGACCCAAAGGACGCAGAGATTCAGATGGATATAGTTGGAATCATCGCAACAACTTACAAATTTCAGGGTTAGTCAAGTAAAATGTCAGCAAACATGTTTTGACTGATAGATGTTTTTTTATACAGGTCCTACTAAAATAATTAGCATGTTGTGATAAAGTTCATTATTGTCTGTAATGTACTGATAAACATTAGACTTTCATATATATTAGATTCATTACACACAACTGAAGTAGTTCAAGCCTTTTATTGTTTCTAATATTGATGATTGTGGCGTACAGCTCATGAAAACCCAAAATTCCTATCTCAAAAAATTAGCATATTTCATCCGACCAATAAGAGAAAAGTGTTTTTAATACAAAAAAAGTCAACCATCAAATAATTATGCTCAGTTATGCACTCAGTACTTGGTCGGGAATCCTTTTGCAGAAATGACTGCTTCAGTGCGGCGTGGCATGGAGGCAATCAGCCTGTGGCACTGCTGAGGTGTTATGGAGGTCCAGGATGCTTCGATAGCAGCCTTAAGCTCATCCAGAGTGTTGGGTCTGGCGTCTCTCAACGTTCTCTTCACAATATCCCACAGGTTCTCTACGGGGTTCAGGTCAGGAGAGTTGGCAGGCCAGTTGAGCACAGTAATACCATGGTCAGTAAACCATTTAGCAGTGGTGTTGGCACTGTGAGCAGGTGCCAGGTCATGCTGAAAAATGAAATCTTCATCTCCATAAAGCTTTTCAGCAGATGGAAGCATGAAGTGCTCCAAAATCTCCTGACAGCTAGCTGCATTGACCCTGCCCTTGATAAAACACAGTGGACCAACACCAGCAGCTGACATGGCGCCCCAGACCATCACTGACTGTGGGTACTTGACACTGGACTTCAGGCATGTTGGCATTTCCCTCTGCCCAGTCTTCCTCCAGACTCTGGCACCTTGATTTCCGAATGACATGCAAAATTTGCTTTCATCCGAAAAAAGTACTTTGGACCACTGAGCAACAGTCCAGTGCTGCTTCTCTGTAGCCCAGGTCAGGCGATTCTGCCGCTGTTTCTGGTTCAAAAGTGGCTTGACCTGGGGAATGCGGCACCTGTAGCCCATTTCCTGCACACGCCTGTACACGGTGGCTCTGGATGTTTCTACTCCAGACTCAGTCCACTGCTTCCGCAGGTCCCCAAGGTCTGGAATCGGTCCTTCTCCACAATCTTCCTCAGGGTCCAGTCACCTCTTCTGGTTGTGCAGCGTTTTCTGCCACTTGTTCCTTCCCACAGACTTCCCACTGAGGTGCCTTCATACAGCACTCTGGGAACAGCCTGTTCGTTCAGAAATGTCTTTCTGTGTCTTACCCTCTTGCTTGAGGGTGTCAATGATGGCCTTCTGGACAGCAGTCAGGTCGGCAGTCTTACCCATGATTGCGGTTTTGAGTAATGAACCAGGCTGGGAGTTTTTAAAAGCCTCAGGAATCTTTTGCAGGTGTTTAGAGTTAATTAGTTAATTCAGATGATTAGGTTAATAGCTCGTTTAGAGAACCTTTTCATGATATGCTAATTTTTTCAGATAGGAATTTTGGGTTTTCATGAGCTGTATGCCAAAATCATCAATATTAGAAACAATAAAAGGCTTGAATTACTTCAGTTGTGTGTAATGAATCTAATATATATGAAAGTCAAATGTTTATCAGTACATTACAGACAATAATGAACTTTATCACAAATGCTAATTTTTGAGAAGGACCTGTACATGTCTCTTCATAAACTCTCTAGTTCGTTCTTCTCTTCTAGATCAGCCTTTTTCTCTTTTTTAAACGTTTGACTGACAACTCAACGAGGATTTATTTCAGCTTCACATCTCAACTAAAAATATAATAAATATAAACATATTTATGTTACATTATTCATATTAATTAAATTTTGGCATTAAACGATAAATAACTTGCACTTATATAGCGCCTTTCAGAGTCAGAGGACTCCAAAGCGCTTTGCACTACAGTTTACCGTATTTTCCGGACTATAAGCCGCTACTTTTTTCCCACGCTTTGAACCCTGTGGCTTATAATGAGGTGCGGCTTTACTGAAGATTTTCCTTCACCTGCCACCAGGGGGCGCTTTAGCAGAAAGTGAAACAGGTGGAAGCCAAAAGTGGAAATGGAAGAAAGTGCTCATTTTAATTTAGCACATGCAAGCAGCCGGCACGATGAAGAATGTTTTTCAAATCCATACCCCCTCATCATGGTAACTACACGTATGAGTTCACATGATGTCGCATTTAAGTTGAAGGCATCGATCTGGCAGTAAAGGAGGGAAACAGCGCTGCCGCATGTAAGCTTGGCATGAATGAATCCACGGTTCTGCGCTGGAGACGGCAGCGGGAAGAACTCATTCAAGCCAGCTTCACCCGGGGATGATGACAGCAACACGGACAGCGACACTGACATCGCCACAGAAAAGGTATGTGACGAAGCTCTTCTGAGGCTGGTCAGCTCCGACACTGAAGACGAGGACTTTAATGGCTTTAGTGCGCAGGAGGAAGATGAGAGCGAATGACTTCTTCTGGTTGGCAAGTGTGTTTTATTTACTAACCAGGCATGTTTTGTGTGCAGGTTTTATTTTCTAACCATCCAGGGCTGATTAATGCTGTGTCAGCGCTGTTCTTTCCTTCTAAACATGCAGATTACCGGTAATAACGTGTCAGTGCTGTTTTTATTTTATAACATCCAGAAACATGAATGCTATCAGTGCTGTTCTCTTTTCTAAACTTGCAGGCACGTTCACCCGTGTTTAAAATGTGTTTTGTTGAATTAAAACAATGAAAAACCTCCGTGTAGCGTCTTTCTGTCTAATTATCTTATGCTATGGCCGTACATGCGCTGTGCGCCGGAGACCTGCATGTGGCTGCTGCGCCGCGGCTTGTATTTGAGGGCAGCGTGTGTGTAGAAAACCTTTTTATTTGTTGGTGCGCTTTATAGTCTGGAAATTACGGTAACCTAACTCACCATCAGAGATGTACTCATAACCTCATCGTTGTCATCTAGAGTCTTCTGGTGCTGATCCCTAACGGTCACCAGCCATTAAACACTCGGAACGACAGAGTGGGTGCAGGAACCAAGTTTTACCACTGGAGTCATTCTGCATACTTACATGTTGCACCTTCAACATTAATATTTTATTTCCTCATTACCATCAATGTCATTACCTAAAAATAACATTTTACACCATTACAGCTTTATAAATGATTTTATTTTTCACTTTATTACCTTAATATTTTTATCATACGGTATGTAATAAACTTTATTGCCCCAAATGAGTAAAAGAATCAATAAATCCAACTTTTCTGGGGTTTTTTTTGTTGGTGTGGAAAGTAAAAGGGTTGAAACAGACGGAGCGATGTTGTTCTGAACGGGTTTCATCTGCAGGGATGGTGGACTTTCAGTGCCTCGCTGTTAACTCGCTGAATGGAGAAGACACATCTCTGTACGACAAAATCATCCTCCGTAAAGCAGAGAGTCCGGCCTTCTTTGAGCAGGATGTTCCTAACTTCCTCCCTCCGGCCATCTTTTCACGCCTCGACTGTCCCGTGGATTATTTCTACCGACCAGACAGCCAACAAAAGTTACCATCAGCTGAGTAGGTCCACTTCACGACCTCTCCAGCCTCCTGAGCAGCAACATTTAGAATTTTTGATCTTCAACGTTTAAGTTAAATTTCTATTATTTGTCCTCCATCCTGATTGTAGGACCACGCGTGTCAGAAAGAACCTGATTGGCTTGGCTCGTGCTCGGAGGCAGAACAATGCCGTATTTGTGAGCTTTAACGATCCATCGGTGCCGACCGAGTGCCTCCCGGCCGCCAAGCAGAACTGGGCTCGATTCTGCATGAAGGAGAGCGACAGACGGGCCGAAGCCAACATAAGAGAGGTGTTTGTGCAGCTGCAGTCTCGCTTCAGACTGTTGATTCAGTCACTATTATACCCAGCAACTTTATCTTCAGCAAGGTCCAATTGGAAAGTTCTAGATGTCTGCTGTAATGTTATGGAGGTATTTTTGCCACCAGTATCTTATCTTAAACCAGACGTTTATGCTTAGATGTTTGAGAGGCGGCCCATCTGGTCTCGGAACGCGCTCAAGGCCAACACCAACATCCACCCTGAAAAACTCAAGCTTCTGCTGCCCCTTTTTGCTTATTACATGGTGAGTACACACTCACAAGGATGGTTTCTGCTTTCATTCAGCTGTGAAACCGTCTTTTTACTGGTATCCAGAAGGTTTTCTGCTTTTTCCCCAAAGGTTATCCTCCTGCACCCAAAGGGGTTACTGTAAAATCTGCACTTATCTTTTGAGTAATAAAAATCCAGACTTTTTCAGATCTGTAATATTCATAAGACACGGAAAGTAATGACCATTGGCCTTCCCGTTGGCAGAAAATGTGTATTATGTGTATTGTGTCTACATCTATTAAGTGAATGACACTCATGACTCTTTTTCCCAGAATAACAGTAAACATCGGATGTGTTTCTGTAGGTGACGGGACCCTGGAGGTGCCTGTGGGTCCGTTTGGGCTACGACCCGCGAAAGAACCCTGACTCTAAGAAATATCAAATGTTGGATTACAGAATCCGCTGTAGCTCCAAATACGGTGAGACCAAAAACCAGACTGAAGCGCGATTCACCCACGTCATTCAGCCTTGTTACTGTGTGTGTTTGCTTTGTAGGCCACACTGTCCCCAACATACCGGTGAAAGCCAAAAGGAGTGCCCATAACTACAGCTTGTCGATCACATTGAACAAAGCAGGTAGTGCTCAGTTACAAATAAAGTTTTTTTCTGCGATACGTCTTTGCTTCATGTTGATAAGAAGCTGAGGTGGGTCACACCTCAGCTTCTTACGATTCCAGAGGGTTTGGTGTGGGAAGCAAGCTGACCAAGAGAGTCTCTGACTTTGGGAACCAGCTTGTCTGGGGCACAGATGAGGATCTCAGTCTTATCTTCATTCAGCTGAAGAAAGCTCCCACCATCCAGGTTTTGATAGAGTCTAAGCAGGTGTGTAACAGCTGCAGCTTAGACATCTCATGGGGCTTAAAGGAGATGTACAGTTGGATGTCATCTGCATAAAGATGGTAGGAGATTCCTTTGAAGGAGCTCAGGATGTGCTGAAGAGGAAGCAGATAGAGGAGGAAGAGCAGAGGCCCCAGCACAGAACCTTGTGGGACACCATGGGTAAGGGAGGTGGTGGAGGACCTAAACTTGGAGACGGCCACAGAAAAGGAGCGCTCAGAGAGATAAGAGGAGAACCACTCCAGAGCAGATCCTGATAGGCCTACCCAGTCTCTCAGCCTCTCCAGTAGCAGGTGATGGTCAACAGTGTCAAAGGCTGCAGTCAGGTCCAGCAGGACCAGAACAGAACAGTCCCCTGCATCACTGTGGGTCAGAAGGTCATTAGAGACCCTAAGAAGAGCTGTTTCAGTAGAATGAGCTCTACGAAAACCTGACTGGAAGCTATCATAGATGCTAAATGAGGGAGCCATCCTGCTGCTTGAAGACAAATCATTCCAGAGTCTTGGTGCAATGATCCAGAAAACATGGTTGTCTTCATTTTACGCCTGGGAACCACCAGTAGACCACCTGGGAACCAGTAGACACTGGTTATTAGAGCAAAGGGAAGGGAAATGTCTTTTGTCTTTTTTTTTTCTGCAGTAAAACAAAAACAGTGGGCTTTTATGGATTGAGCTAAATAATCTTCAGTCCAGCTAGCATAGCTGATGGCACGCTGTTGAGCTGAATATAAACTCTGGATTTTGTTTTTTCTGCAGTTCCTCAGGCTGCTAATGTGATGGATAGCCTCTCACAGGATGGTCCAAGCACCAGTCGGGCTCCACTTCCTGTCTCGTACCAGCTAAAGGTCAGTGAAGGTCATTTGGATCAAGCTCTTTTTTTCTGTACATCCGGTGTTTCGGTGGTCCGCGCTACCCGACAAGCCGCTATCACATGTTGTGTCAATGCACAGACTGAGTTTACATCACCAACCACTCACCTAGAGGCCTCACATCGAGACGTGCTCCCCGTTAAAGTTTAATTACGTCTGATTTAGCCCTGTCACCTGAATGTTTTTGCATTTTTATATTTCATGTACAAAACAACCGTTGTGGTTATTTCAGAATGTAAACAAGCCCAATGAATCTGTTTTCTTCAAGTTCTGGCTGTTAAGTTTTAACTGTTTAACCCCCCCACTGTCCTAATGGGTGACCCCGCGAGGAAAGTTGACCCCATTGAGCAGGGTGGATGGTTTATCCCTTGGGTCCACGTGGCAGGGGTCACCCATTAGGACAGTGGGAGGGTTAAAATAAAAGAGGATATTTTATAAAAGGCACATTTTTAGTGTTTTACTTCACCTCCGCAGGAGTCGTCCTACATCTTCAGAGATGGGATGCTGCCGCCTCACAGACAGATGTTCTACCAGCTCTGCGACCTGGAGGTGGACAGGTACGATACAACCATCTTCTCTGACACAAGTGAACTCCTCTGGTCTGTTATTTGTAGCTGGAAATCCCCAAAGCTGCTGCTGTTTAGCTAATGAAGACGTCAGTAATGTTGGTCTTTTTGTGCGTTCAGCATCAAAGACGTGATCGAGCAGAACAGCGGTAACGAACGTGCGTGTGACGAGCGCGACGGCTGGTGTGTTGTCGGCACCACGGACAAACTCAGGGACTTGATCTCAGCCATGATTAGGAAAGTGGTGAGAGAAAAGAAACCAGGTACGTGTTCACACGAGGGCTGTCACGATGTGAAAATTTCACCTCACGGTTATTGTCACCAAAATTATCACCGTTTTCGGTTTTATCCTTGTTTTATTTTTTACGAGTTACATTTTTAGACAACTAAATAAACCCTCTGTATCAGGAAAATGTTGTCCTCAGTTTGTCTAAACTTTGCCTAAAGTTTGTTTTTGTAATTATGTTGTTTATTTGTTTACATATTTCCCCTTTTAGTCCATAAAATACCCAAATCTGCCCGTAACTTATTTTTTTGTCTGTTTGTTTAAAAATGAGGTGGGATGATACTCGCCTCGGTACTCAAGTAGTCTTCTAATGAAATACTTTTTACCGTTCTTGAGTAATTTCTTGGACAGCTACTTTTATGTGTTGAAGTAGTGCTTGAGTACATTTGTTGGCTACTCTAACCAGGCCCACCTCTGGACCAGGGGCACCCAGACTTTCCCTCAGTGGGACAAAATAAAAATCTGTATGTTCCACTCCTGTTCATCATTTCATGATGTGTTGGTCGTTTCGAGGGTATTGCATGTACTAATTATAGCGCCAGAAACGTGTTCTATATAACTGAATAAACCTAGCCTGGCCAGCCAGCCCCGTGCTTCGTTAGGGGACGTTCTCTGTAGAGTTAAACAGACGATGAGTCTGGCAGGCCAGGCAAAAATAAACCCTCTATATGTAAAATATTGTCCTCGGCTTGTGTCCTTCCAGTGAGGTTTGCCATAAGTCAGTAATCATTGTTACATTCATAATAATGCGGAGAGAAACCAACTCTAACTGTGCCTCAGTGATGTAACGCCCAACTAACCATAACCCCAACAGAGCTGAAAATAAACCACAGACCTTTTTGATGCATGCAGCCATTTTTCTCCATGCTTGTTATCGTGTGAACCACCGAAATCACGCGTGTTCCTGCGATTCTCGTGTGACTTTGTGGTCTCACGGGACTTTGTGGTCTCACGGGACCAGCTGCATGGAACTCTTTTGCTGCTGTTTAGCATCTGAAAAGCTCCCGCTGGGAGTGGAGCTGGCGTGTAAACGCGTCTCTGACATTATGCGCTGCTTTCGGTGGGGCGACGGTGACACAGGAGTTAAGAGCTCGCCCCTGTAATCGGAAGGTTGCAGGTTCGAGCCCCGCTTGTTGTGTCCTTGGGCAAGACACTTAACCCACGTTGCCTGCTGGCGGTGGTCGGAGGGACCGGTGGCGCCTGTGCTTGACAGGCTTGCCTGTGTCAGTGCGCTCCAGGGCAGCTGTGGCTACATCGTAGCTCATCACCACCAGTGTGTGAATGGGTGAATGGCTGATTGTGTTGTAAAGCGCCTTGGGGGGTTCCAGGTACTGGAGAGGAGGGTCCGATCGATAGTGGAATCTCAGATTGAGGAGGAGCAATGTGGTTTTCGTCCTGGTCGTGGAACTGTGGACCAGCTCTATACTCTTGCAAGGGTGATGGAGGGGGCATGGGAGTTTGCCCAACCAATCCACATGTGTTTTGTGGATTTGGAGAAGGCTTATGACCGTGTCCCCAGGGGCACCCTGTGGGGGATGCTCCAGGAGTATTGGGTGGGTGGCTTTCTGTTAAGGGCCATTCAGTCCCTTTACCAGAGGAGCGTGAGTTTGGTCCGCATAGCCGGTAGTAAGTCGGTCCTGTTCCCGGTGAGGGTTGGACTCCACCAGGGCTGCCCTTTGTCACCGGTTCTGTTCATTACCTTTATGGACAGAATTTCTAGGCGCAGCCGTGGTGTGGAGTGTGTCGAGTTTGGTGGCAGGAGAATCTCGTCTCTGCTTTTTGTGGATGATGTGGTCCTCCTAGCTTCATCCAGCTCTGACCTTCAGCTCTTGCTGGGTAGGTTCGCGGCCGAGTGTGAAGCGGCTGGGATGAGGATCAGCACCTCCAAATCTGAGACCGTGGTTCTCGACCAGAAAAGGGTGGCTTGCCATCTCCGGGTCGGGGGAGAGGTCCTACCTCAAGTGGAGGAGTTTAAGTATCTCGGGGTCTTGTTCACGAGTGAGGGTAGGAGGGATCGGGAGATCGACAGGCGGATTGGTTCAGCATCTGCAGTGATACGGACGCTGAGCCGATCTGTCGTGGTGAAGAGGGAGCTGAGCCAGAAAGCCAGGCTCTCGATTTACCGGTCGATCTACGTCCCAATCCTCACCTATGGTCATGAGCTGTGAAAGAACGAGATTGCGGATACAAGCGTCCGAAACGAGTTTCCTCCGTAGGGTGGCCGGGCTCAGCCTTAAGGTTGATTCATGCTTCTCCGTCTGCGTCAGCGCGGAGACATGCAACGCCAGTATCCATCCTTGCGTAGGGCCTCGGCAGGCACGCAAGTACGTACGGAGTCGAGCCCACTTTTTTAAACATCCATCGAACAAGACAGAGAACGCAAGCTTGTGATTGGTCAGGGCACCGCTGTCGTCTACACCACCGCCATTGCGCCCTCAAAAACATAAAGAGAGCCGAGGATAACTAGCAGCAGACACGGAGAAGCTTGAAGAATACCTCGTGAAAAAACTCTAAAAATATGAACGTTTAATTCTCCCGTGACTGGAGGAGTGAAAAGATGCGCAGCAAGCGTTTTATTTGTGGACGGAAATGACAGGAAACGTGGGTTTAGAGGTGGCGAGCGCATGAAGAGGTGGAGGAGGATGAGAGACAAATATGTCAGTGTTAAAAAGTCTCTTATAAACAAAAAACACAATATAAACACACTATCTTGGACCGATACATGACAGGATACCACAGAACAGCGCTACGCCCTCTGCTGTCCTGGCGGGGAATTGCTTTGCAACACTCCCCAGGAGATGAAGAAGTATGAGAGCAAAACGCTTCCGTCAATCCGTGCGTGTCTGTCCCTTGCGGAGCTGACGGAGAAGCATGACTCAGGCTTTAGAGATAGGGTGAGGAGCTCGGACATTCGGGAGGGACTCGGAGTAGAACCGCTGCTCCTCCACATCGAGAGGAGTCAATTGAGGTGGTTTGGGCATCTGGTCAGGATGCCTCCTGGGCGCCTCCCCGGGTCGACCCAGGACACGGGAACACCTTGGGGTCCTGCCGGAGGAGCTGGTGGAGGTGGCCGGGGAGAGGACGGTCTGGAGCTCCCTAGTTGGGATGCTGCCCCGCGACCCGGACCCGGATAAGCGGAGGAAGACGACGACAGCTGTTCAGTTAAAGTTCTATATAATGCTTGTTTTTCAAATCTTTTTGCAACTAACTCATGTGCATCACATACGTTCCCCGAATATCTAGTTTGTGTTCATGCTGTTGTGATAAAAAATGATGATGATTACGAGGTTGTTTGTGCCTCAGTGATGAAACCTCCAACTAAAAGCAGCAGCATGGCTCTGTACCCGGCTTTAATGGTTTAATTGGTGTCAACTGGTAAAAACATACCGGATTGTTATTATTTTTTTATTCCAACTTTTTGACTCCTACGATATGAATAGATCGTTGTTGTTCTGAACTGAATCCATAGTTGTCATGAAAGAGGATTTTTTTTGCAAACATTGTACAACAAAAATAAATGGAATTAGGGATGTCCCGATACAACTTTTTTACTTCCGATACGATTCCGATATCAATCCGATACAATATCAGCACAAATCGTACATACCGTAAATCCTCTAATACAGGCCGGTATTCAATTAAAGGCCGGGTCTCCAATTCTGGCCGGTGTCGGAGTCAGCGGAGGCAAATAATGGCCGGTCGCTTATTGTGGCCGGATGGAATGTGGTAACAAGTAAGTACGAGCGACCCAGCGGCAGGGTTGTAGTCCCAAACCAACCAGCAGGAGGCAGTAGAAGTTCACGCAGACCTATTTTAGGCTTTTTCTACAACGCTTTGTACCGCTACAGACACGATCCTCTATCACGCTCCTACCACACAGAGTCACGGTGTCAGTTAACCATGCTAATTCAACCCGCTCCACAGAACACACATCACCTTCCCTGTGGCTTACATAACACTCACACAACACGCAAATCAGCACATAGGAACCAGCAGAACGATAGGAAACACATATAACACAATACCCAGAATGCACCTGGCTTACAACCCCAACCAGGTCATTACACTATCAAGTTCAAAGAGAACGTGCTGATTATGCTGCAGAACACTCTGGAGAGCAGCAGTAGGGGGTGTATGAACTACAGTAATCCCTCGTTTATCGCGGTAGATGCGTTCCAGACCTGGCCGCGATAGGTGAAAATCCGCGAAGTAGGGACTCCCAGCATGCCCCTCGCGGGGATTCCCTTCACGTCGCACCTACGTCACAAACCGCGGCTATAAACGGAAGTCGCCTTTCCAGCTCACCACTCAGTCATCGTTTCTTCAGATTCACGATCAGAGTTTCCAACCTACCGATCAATCCAACGAACTATCAGCTCATAGTAAGTTATCTTACTTACTTCTGGAAAGCCCGGCATTTCCGTGTCACTTCGTTGACGCTCGAACGCTCGGGGGTTTCCTAGATCAGCCGGCGTTTCACCGACGCTCTCACTTCCGCGTCTGTGAAACCACGCTCCCTATTGAATTATCGTATGATCACATTCTCTGTGATCAGCAACGCGCTGTGCCGGACCGTAGGTACTGACACGCGATCGTTCATGTCGGTTCATTTCCTTTAATGTTTTCTGTCTTTTAGTTGCGCCTGATGTGTATCGCTGCTGTGGAGCGGGGCGCATCAACTTGTCCTCCGACGCACAGATCACAGCAGGGAGCGCTCAGCTGTTTTCGCGGTCGGTAGATCTGCCTCCTGAGCACGGCCACAGTAACAATCAGGTGTCGCCACCTCAAAAACTAATTTAACACGCGATCGTTCATGTCAGTTCATTTCCTTTAATGTTTTCTGTCTTTTATTTGCGCCTGATGCGTTTCGCTGCATGCTGTGGAGCGGGGCGCTGCGCGCATCACCTTGTCCTCCGACGCACTGATCACTGATACAGCCGGCAAGCAGCAAGCGCTCCGCTGTTTTTGCGGTCGATCGATCTTTTAGAACTGCAGTTCAAAGGTAACTCATGAGGTGAATATATATGAAGCCAGGTAGCAGTTTCTCTTTAGGATTGAGAGGAGATGCAGGAAGATAATAAACAGGCAGGACAGAAAAATAGTCAAATAAAAACAAGTTAGTTTTTGTACCTGCTGGTTGCAACAAACAGACACAATTGAAGGTCATCAGAAGTGAGGAACAGAAAATGAAATAATTATTTTAATGTTTAGAGCAGCAGGAACTCCGAGAGGCTGCAGGCGCATCAGTGAGTTTGCGGCCGCTGCGCAGGGGGAGGGGGGAGATGGCTGAAGCAGGGGGAGGGGGGAGAGGACTGAAGCAGGAACTACCGTTGTTAAAAGAAATGTGTTTAACTTTGAAAATGTGGGCGCAATTTTAATTGTCAAAAACTCCAGCGAACCATTAGTTCATTTTGCTCAAATAAAAATAGAGGCCTGCCTCTAATACTTGCCCTCCTTCCAATAAAGGCCTTGAGCTTGATGAGCTTGAGTCAAATACAGGCCCGGGCCTGTATTAGAAGATTTACGGTACCTTTACCTATTTCGTAGGGCTGAGCAATAGGGCTGCAACGATTTGTCGACAAATATCGACAGTAGAAATAGCCGACAATGAATTTCATTGTCGACGTTGTCGCTAGACGTGTTTTTTCCGACCGAGTGAGGCATCTCACTTCATTACAATCTCTGCTGAGAGCCGCACGTGAGCAGTAGCGTCTCTGCTGAGCGCCCGCTAACAGAAATGGCGGCGTCCGACACCGCAGCTACGCGTACCGAAACATCTAAAGTTTTGGAGCGTTCTAGCCGGGATTCGGCGAATAAAAAGTTTACCTGCGTTATTTGTGAAGCGGTCCTCGCGTATCACGGCAGCACCTCGGTGATGCATGAACACTTAACGAGAAAGCACGTCGGACAGTTGAATGCAACAGAGTCTGACTCACCTCGGTAAGATTTAAATAACACGAAAGCTAACACGTTTTGTTTTGGATGTACATTTTTAAACATGTTTTCACTTTAAAAAAGAGATTAAACATTATGTCCGACTGTGCCTGACAACAGTATTTTAATTTATTTATGCATTTATGTCTGTACTGACTGAGCACTGTGCCTACTTGGTGTCAGACATTTTTATTTACTGTTAGTATGAATTGGCCTATCAGCAGCAAAGTTCAATAGAATATGCATTTTCCACTGAAGTACCCATCTTTCTTGTGTTTATGATCATTGTTCACATAATTAAAGCAATCTCCTGCTAAATTTAAGAAAAATTTAATAATTATCTGATTAGTCGACTAATCGCTTCAATAGTCGGTGACTAGTTGACTATTAAAATAGTTGTAGTTGCAGCCCTACTGAGCAATAAATCGAAAATGTATCGTTATCGAAATTTCTGACTCTTACCGAGATAATTTTTCTCATGTCAATAAATTTCATAATAGCAAAATGAAAAGATGTGTGAAGGTTGGCAGCGTTCATGTCCCTTTAAGAAGCTGTACCACCTTGAGTCAGGTAAAAATGTGACTCAACTAATACATGTGACAGCTCCATCTAGTGGACAACTTTTGTTTCAGCACACACCTGTAGTTATCGAACATTTATCGTTATCGAGGTGAAACCCTCCAAAAATCGTGAGATTGATTTTAGGCCATATCGCCCAACCCTACTATTTCGTGGTGTGGGTTGTATGAAAGAATTGATCAAGTGATATTACTCAATCAGAGAACAAGAGCCAATAACAGTAAGTATGGAAGACATTTTTTTTGAACATTGGTTGCAAAAATGTGAACCCTAACTGACCGCTTATATCGAAGATTTTTGATGCAGTCCGATAAAATTCGATAGTTTTTCGGCCGATATCAAATTACTTTCGATATTGGAACGGGACATCCCTAAATGGAATTAAATCTGTTTAATAATTTTGGGGTCTACACAACAAAATAGACCGGTATGGCAACCCAAAAGGTGCAAAAAGTGATTTTTGCAGAAAACTCCTCTATAAATCAATCTCAAAGTTTTTTTCTGGTCTTTATTATTAATTCATACAATAATCAAATAATATATTAACGTATATTATTAATAATGGATAATTATTTATTTATTGTTTTTTCTTTAGAGTTACCCCAAGTCTTTCAGAAAAGACGGCGAATAGGCCTGATTGTGAAATTCCCAGAGAGAGATGTGGAGGAAGAGGAGGGAGAGTGTGGGATCAAAGATGACGACGATGATGATGATGACGAGGACGAGGAGGAAGATGAGTTTCAACCATCGGAGGGAAGTGAAAATGAGATGGAGACAGAAATTCTGGACTATATGTGACAAATGATCAAACTAAATGTTGAGTTTTCCTTTGTCGTAATTTAAGATTTGAATAAAGATTGTGATTTCCTGACTACTACTACCAGGCTCTTGTACTTATTTCACATTTCTTACATTTAAAAACAATACGCTGCTGAAGGTTCTCAGTCCTCCAGGTTATGGCAATCCAAAAGGGAAGTTACCACCTGAGGAGCTTTGTCAATTCTGACTGGAATATGGGAGAGCCAAGCTTACAGGCTGTAGCTGTCTGTTGTTGTTCTCGATGTGGAGGAGCAGCGGGTCTACTCCGAGCCCCTCTTAGGTGACCGAGCTTCTCACCCTATCTCAAAGGGAGAGCCCAGACATTGCTGAGAAAACTCTTTTCTGCTACTTGTATCCACGTTCTCGTTCTTTCAGCCACTACTCAAAGGTCATGACCACAGGTGAGGGTAGGAACGTAGATCGACCGGTAAATCGAGAGCTTCACCTTCTGACTCAGCTCTCTCTGCACCACGACAGTCATGGCATGCATGGGTATCATGTATGATTCTCAAGCATGCCATTCCTAAGCAGTCCTTAGGCTGCAGTGCGATGATTGAACTGCGGCCTAAGGTGTCCTGGTGCCAAGAGCACATATGGACACCTTTTTTCTTGAGCATGGTGTTCGTTAGGACAATCCATGACAAGCAAAGAAGTCCAATATCAAAACACCGCTCGGGTTCAGATCAGGGGGGTGTTCCTTCCCACCGCACCCCTCCAGGTCTCACTGTCTTTGTCCACATGAGTGTTTAGTCCCATATCAGAACAAGGGGCTCACTGGAAGGAGCGTACTCCAGCCCCCCCCCCCCCCCCCCCCCCCCCAATGGGCTCCAAAAAGGTTGGCTAGTCTGACCCACAGTTTGGTGAAAAAACACAAACTGATAGATGTAATCACACGTAGGTGGAGGGAGGCTAGCCTCTCGTTCACGGGTAAACCCTGTAGAGAGGTAAATGTTGTGCTTCAAGAGCTTAATATGTTACCTTTACGTATGACCAGGAAGATGTGATACTCTATATAAATATAGAACATCAACCTGCCGGGTCTTTGAATGTTTAATCAGAAGATTTAGGATTCTTTGCTTTTTCAGGGATCAACACACTTCGTGTTACGTCAAGAAGAGAGTCGGGTTTGTAAAAGGTAAGAATTTATTTTCTAAACGATTAAAACATGACAACTAGGAAACGCTTAGAGGAAGAATGAATCTGATGTATGAATGTGATGTCATCAGAACCTTCGTATCTGGAGAAGCGAGTTCTGAGTGGGAGTGAATTTGGTTTGCTCCAAACTAATTTGATGGTTTCTAAAACCACATCAGACACGAGCCCACGTTCCCCGTCTGGAGACCCCCGATTGGATCAGAGATGTCAGGGAGTCTGGTGACCCCAGTGCCTCGAGGTTCGTAGGATAATCGTGATGCAACCAAGTCAGTCCTGAGATGTCTCCGGGTCGCACAGTTGTTTGTGTCTTAGGAATAAGTCTTAAGGCGCTGAACTTGTCTCGCCTTGGTTCTGAAGGAACCGTTTGCGGTGTCAGCTGTAGATGCGATGGTTAGTTTCCCTTTGATGGCCGTTCGAAGTTATGCTCATAACTAGAATGCTGAATCACTCAGCAAGTGATTCTGTTTCTAATGTTCTCATATTATGATTTGTGTGGCCAATGGGAGCTTGCCATGTTGAGAGGTGTTAACCACCAAACCTCAGACATCACGCCTTCTCAGACAGGGATGCTCTGATTTGTGGGTAAGAAAATATCTGTGTGTCTGCAATGACATTAACCTTGAGTCACGAGGACATATGCAGTGTAGATAACGATTCACTTGTTAAGTCCAACATTCCTGATCGCCATATATAAATCTTTAATGTAATAATAATATATTCATTTCACAGATTAATCAAAACATTTCATTTAGTATTCATATAACATTTGTTCATCAACCAGATTATTATTTAAGGATTATTTAACTTTGTAAAAGTTCTTCTGTCTTGTGCTGTGAATAAAAACCAGTCTGCGGTAAGAGTGAGCCTGGAAGGACCTTGAAGCAACTTCTCTTCTGTAGATCAGAGCTCCAGTTGGAGCCTTATGTCTCCAAATGACCGACACTGAAGAGCCGACCTGTAGATGGAAAACAGACCATTTCCAGAGGCTACAACCCCAACATGTAGGTACCAAGATGGGGGGGTGAACAAGTAGCATCATCTGGGCTGCATGGTGGTGCAGTGGTTAGCACTGTTGCCTCGCAGCACGAAGGTTGCAGGTTCGAAACTCGGCTGCAGCCTTTCTGCGTGGAGTTGCGTGTTCTCCCCATGCATGCGTGGGTTTCCTCCGGGTACTCCGGTTTCCCCCACGGATCACAACATGTCCTATAGGTTATAAACTGTAAGTAGCTTTGGATAAAAGCGTCTGCCAAATAAATAAACACAAACATAAATAAACATAAACATAAACAAACATAAACATAAGTATGCCCACTCCTGCTTGGCGCCTCTCAGTGGGGTCAATTCCAGAGTGGAAGGATATCCGACCTCTCGAGGACGCTGGTTCTGGACCCAGAGCCATTTGTCAAGGTGAGTCCGATCTAGTCGGAACATCTTACCTCACACCAACCCGGACCTCTTCCCAACCAAACAGGTGACGTTCCACATGCACAGAATCAGCTTCTGAAGCCGACGATCAGACCGCGGAAGTCCACGCCTTCGGCTACCACCCATCTCACACTGCATCTGACCTTTGGCCCCTCTCACGAGTAAGGGGACACCACTTGTATTTATGTTCATCATCACAAGGGCTCTTTGGGCTGCACCTGTCTGATCCCTCAGCTAGGACCTGTTTCCCATGGGTGACCACACCAGCTGCATAAAGCATGGTCTCTTAGGATCACTGGGACACTCAAACCCCTCCACCACAGTACGGTGGCGGCCCAGGCAAGGGAAGACAGGTTGTGAGACTGGTCCTACAATACAATTGATGCTATTATACAACACAATAGCAATTAATGAGGATTCCAATATTTATCATGGAAATCATGTCTTTCAATATTCACTAGTTTACAAGATTTGTTTTTCTTTAGGTGAAGGAGGAACATTTTCAGCCCTGAGGTACTTCAGGTCAAACGGTGTAAGTTTTAAAACGTTTTAGAGGTGTGAGAGTTTGCGTCATGTTTGAACAGCTGTGTAAGCTCAGCCGATAGTCAGCAGAGCACAAGGAAGACATTCCAATAAAAATAAATCCCTGAAAAGCTTCATGCTTGTTTATGTTGTGACCAATGCTGTTCTGTTTTTTTAATTATAAACTTTCATTTAAACGCCTCAAATAAGAAATAATGTAAAACAAAACAAGGCACAAATAAAATTTGTGGAGTTTTATTGTTTCTGTGCAGGAATAAAAACTGCATTAGTCAAATGGATTTTTTATTCCCTCTTATTTGGGCTTTTATTTATTGGGGGTGTTTTTTCTGTGACAAGCCACTTTTAGAGCAGAGCCTTGTGTGAAAGCTGAATTTATCGCACATCCATTTTCAGATGAAGTTCATTGCATCAGCCAGTTTCCATAAGCCGGGAGATTTTGGCTGAATTAGAAAAAAACGATAAGATATTTTAAGTTTTTCTTTTTCACTTATCTCATTTCGAATTCAAAAATACTATAATAATAATACTATAATAATCCCAGAGGGACATTATATGTGTATATATATATGTGTACAGGATATTTTTATGAATAAAAGTATATTACATATAATCAAATGATGCTAATTCAAAGACTACTAACCTTGTAGCAATGCGACGCTGTACAACTAAATAACAGGTTCAATTTTTCAGACAGAAGAATAAATAAAACACAATTTCTGGTTTTCGCTAAACAAACAAATGTTTTTGGGCCCCAGGCTTTTGCTGCTGTACTTGTTTGTCCTCCAGTAGAGGACGCTCGGGCTCGAGAGGTTGAGCTTCTTAGCAAAACTCTGTTTTACTTTGATTTCTCTCAACAGTTGAAGCAGAATGATTTTATTATTTCAGTTTAACCAAACCGTGGTTAATTATTATGTAACAGTGAGAAAAGAAGCTCATGGGCTGCTCACCTGCAGTGTGTGTGTGTGTGTGTGTGTGTGTGTGTGTGTGTGTGTGTGTGTGTTTTGGGTGTGTGTGTAAGGGTTCAAGGTTCAAGGTCACTTTATTAATACCCACAGGTAAATTTGATTTGCCATGTGACACGAGAATTAGCGCCCAGGTTACACACAGATACACACAGTTACACACACAGATACACACACACACACACACACACACACACACACACACACACACACACACAGCCACAAAGCACACACATCAAGGAAGAATAAACAAGAAGTAAATAAAATAAAATGGCCACGCCAGACTCGGTTCTTATTGAGTAACGTTACCGCCTCGGGAATAAAGCTTGTTTTGTACCTCCTGGTCCTGCACCTTGGCACAATAAGTCTCCGTCCAGATGGCAGGAGCGTAAACTGGGCATGCAGTGGGGGGGCCGTGTCCCTAACAACCGCTTTAGCAACCCTCTCTACCTGTCCGCTGTACAGCTGTGCCACACTTTTCCTGGTTTTCCAAGCAGCTTTACTATCCTGTTCAGCGTTTCCTTTTGTTTACGAGTGGCCTGACCAGACCACGAGGCTAAGGAAAAGATGAAACACTTTCAGTAAAAGAACAATAAAACGTGGACATTATAGTCCTGTCCACATGCAGTCAGGCCAGTTTTCTAAGGCGGTACAAACGCTGCTGGCCGTTCTCGCCCACAGCATCACCGTTTTCCTCTAAATCCAGCTCCCTGTCCTTAATTGTCCCCAAATATTTATATGATGTCACCTGCTCAAAAGTTTGACCTTTAATTATGGAAAGATCACGCTGTTGTTGTGGCTTCCTTCTAAAGTACATGATCATGTCTTTTGTTTTAATGACATGAAGTTGTAGATATGATTCATCACACCAAGAGATGAAATCCTCAAGAACAGGTCCATGGCTGTGTTCCCCTTCTCTCAGGAGACGCACCACTACCGAATCATCAGCATATTTAATAACTGCCCTTCAGTTATTGGTGGTGGTGGAGGGGCGTGTGTGGGTGTGTTTGTGTGGGCTGGATGTGTGTGCAGGTGCGTGTGGGTGTGTTTGTGGGTGTGTGGGGGCTGGATGCATGGGGGTGGGGGTTGAGGGTCTGTGAGTGTATGGAGCGCTGTGTGTGCGTGTGTGTGTGCGTGTGTGTGTGTGTGTGTGTGTGTGTGTTTTACGCCTTTATAAAAGTGTGGCTGGCGCTCAGCTGGTCTCTCACAGGGACTTCACGATGGCCGTTCTGGGGATTTTGGCCGCTGTTGTACTTTTGCTGGAGACAGTCTCCGCCGCCTCTGTAAGTGAGAATTGCTGCACATCAGATCAGTTTTATATCTATATGCTGAATTAAACAATACGAGTTTAAGCATTTTTGTGCAACTATTCTTGCACCTTTGCAAACACTTACCTCACTGACATGAAGTCCTGTTTACCTGCTCTGTTTCTGTTTCCTTTGTCCTAAAGCTCGGGGTTGTTTACACCGAGGGAGGGATGGTGACGGGGAAAAGCATCTCCCTTGGATTGTTCCGTCGCATGGATGTTTTTAAAGGCATTCCCTTTGCCGGGATCCCTGGAAGGTTTGAGAAGCCACAGCGTCACCCTGGCTGGGATGGTGGGTCACCTGACATGAACTTTCACCTCTCGCTAGAACTCTAAACACCATACCTGACCTTTACCTCTAAAACACCAATATCGTGCTAATCTGCCACCTAATTACAAGTTTGTCTTGGGACTCTTCTCTTGTTTGAGGTTAGCTAAATTAGCCACTTATGCTAACATTATGTTTTGTGATGAAATGGAAAAAGAGAATTCAAGAAAAACGATTTCATACGCTCCAGGAAGAGTTTGCTTTGTCCAAACAAATATCTTTCTTTCAGTTAAAGCAGACATGTTTGACCTTTCATTTGTTCTATAGTCTTTAAAATTGCATGCACCTCGTTGCTTGGTTGTTTTCGAAACACAGCGTAGTAAAGATTTGTTTGTCCTGCTCTGAGGAAAGCTGCAGCGTTAGCCAAAACTCGTCAGCTTAAAAGGTAAAAACAAATCTTTACCATGCTGTGTTCAGAAAAGAACCAAGCAATGAAATCTGACGGATCACACAGAACGAACATACAAATGAAAAAGCATCAATCCTGTCAGAAAAGGACATTTAAGCAGCTTTGTTCTTTACAGTCTCGGTACCTTCCAGAACGAGCCGTTTTAGGGCTCTGTCGCTTTAATGCAAACAAGCTTTTGCTGCCCCCCCCCCCCCCCCCCCCCCCATGTGGCAGCAGTGAGGTGAGGAGTGTGGATGCATTGGGAGGAGCTTAGAGTACATCTGCTGCTCCTCATGTTGGAGTTGGAGCCTCCATAGGTGTGGACAGGTGGTGGGGTTGGGGTGTCTATGCTTTGGTTCCTCAATGTGACATCACAATAAGACATTTTCAAATGGCTCTTAGAGGCAAATTATTCCTGAAACCAAACTCTAACAGAGCATGGACGTACGGTTTTGTTCGTGTTTCGAGTGTTTCTAGAGGCTGTAGAACCCCGCAGGGCAGCATAAAAGGGTACAAATGCCAAGTTTTACATAATATTCCTCTTTAGACTTGGATTTCTGCAACTCTGAACAATTTTATTTTATAAACAAAAACTTACAAGACTTTGCAAAATGATAAAATATAAGAAGATGTGATTAAAGATAATTGTCCCAACAGTTGTCACACAAACTGGTGTGTGTGTGTGTGTGTGTGTGTGTGTGTGTGTGTGTGTGTGTGTGTGTGTGTGTGTGTGTGTGTGTGTGTGTGTGTGTGTGTGTGTGTGTGTGTGTGTGTGTGGTGAAATTTGTCCTTCGTATTTGACCCATCCCCTGGGGGAGCGGTGAGCTGCAGACACTGCCGTGCTCAGGAACTACTTGGTAGTTTAACTTCCCCCAATTGAACCCCTTAATGCTGAGGGTCAAGCAGGAGACATTGGGTCCTATTTTAAAGTCTCTGATATGACCCGACCGTGTAGTTTAACCTCCCAGTCTCGGGACGCACACTCATACCACCCGGCCATTGAGGACCTGAAGAAACCTCTCACATACATGGAGAGAACATGCTAACTCAGTATGGAAAGGGTGCATCCAGGATTCAAACCGAAGACTGTATTTACAGGTAAAATTAGATTATCATGACAAAAGTGATTTATTTCAGCAATTCCATTCCACATATATTAGATTCATTCATTACACACAGACTGATTTGAAATGTTAATTTAATTTTAATGATTATAACTGAAAACTAATGGAAATCCCAAATTCAGTGTCTCAGAAATTAGAATACTGTGAAAAGGTTCAATGTTGAAAACACCTGGTGCCACACTCTGCTCAGCTAATCAAAACACCTGCAAAAGCCTTTCAATGATTTCAGTTTAGTTCTGTAGGCCACACAATCATGGCAAAGACTGCTGACTTGACAGTTGTCCAAAAGATGACCATTGACACCTTGCACAAGGAGGGCAAGGCATATAAGGTCACTGCTAAAGAGGCTGGCTGCTCACAGAGCTCTGTGTCTGAGCACATTAGAGAGGTGAAGGGAAGAGCAAGATGTGGTAGAAAAATGTGTACAAGCAACAGGGATAACCACCCCTGGAGAGGATTGTGCAACCAAACCATTCAAAAATGAAGGGGAGGTTCACAAAGAGTGGACTGCAGCTGGAGTCAGTGCTTCAAGAACCACCACACAGATTTATGCAAGACCTGGTTTCAGCTGTCGCAGTCCTTGTGTCAAGCCACTCGAGAACAAGAGACAGCCTCAGAGGCGTCTCGCCTGGGCTGAAGACAAAAAGGACTGGACTGCTGCTGACTGCTCCAAAATTATGTTCAAATCAAATTATCAAATCAACTTTATGTATATAGCACTTTTCATACAAAAAATGCAACTCAAAGTGCTTCACAGATTAAAATGTCCCCATAGATCCCAAATTCCCATCCCAGCCCCCCTCCCCAAGTATAAAACAATTGACAATTACGGTTCACAATGTGAAACAATAGATAATGATACTTTGCCATCCCTTTGGGAATTCTATTAAATTTTTTCAGTTTTAACAGAAAAACTACTGGTCCTGAGAATATTCTGATGCATCATAGTTTCACTCACATTTCTCTGGTCTTCTCATGTTTCTGTCCCTGATCAGGTATCCTGAAGGCCACAGAGTACAGAAACAGATGCCTTCAACTCAACCTTCTGATGAACGACGTCAGAGGCAACGAGGATTGTCTTTACCTGAACATTTGGGTTCCTCATGGCAGCAAGGGTAGGGTTACTCACTTGCATTCACACTGGCCAAACAGTGCTATAGTTTGCTGCTAGGCTTTAACATAGGCAACACTTTTTAAAATAATAAAACTCTTAAACCTCTCAACAATAGAAGTTTTGGAAATTGGGGACTCGTCCGGGATGCTTCGATCTTGTATTGGAAACTGAACTTGACTGGTTTTGTAGAATATATTAGAAATAACAACATCTATAAATCCGAGACTATGGTCTTGAATCGATAAATGGGAGAATGCCTTCTCCAGGTTAGGAACAAGGTCCTACCTCAAGTGGAGGAGATGATGTATCTAATGAATATCAACAATAACCATAGCATGTGTAACATCAAGCATTTATGTGAGAAAGCCTTGCCAAGCCAAGCAGCCAACAGCCCCAGCCATTAGGGTTCCCCTCACAGGTGTTGTCGGTTAGCCCGGTTAAGGTCAGGTTAAGTGCAAAAGTGTTTCAAACATCAGAATTATATCAAGAAACATTCTTTTCAGTGTCCACCAATCTGCCTGTCATGGTTTGGATCTATGGAGGAGCATTCTTGCTTGGTGGCTCGATGGGAGCTAACTTCCTGGATAATTATCTCTACAGCGGGCAGGAAATCGCAGACCGAGGAAATGTTATTGTGGTGACATTTGGATACCGTGTGGGAACATTGGGTTTCCTGAGCACCGGAGACTCTAGTTTGCCTGGTAGGTACCAGTCAAGGACTAAAAAGACCAGTCGTTCAAAGGAAACACGGCTTGTTTAACTTAATTTAGTTGTTTAGGTAATTATGGCCTGTGGGACCAGCATGCTGCCATCGCCTGGGTGCACAGGAACATCCGGTCCTTCGGTGGAGACCCAGACAACATCACAGTCTTTGGAGAGTCTGCAGGAGGAGCCAGCGTCAGTCTTCAGGTGAGATTTTTTGACATCCAGTGAATTTTAAAGGTTATTATTCTCTAAATCATTCTAAATAAATTGACTGTATTGAAGCATGTTTGTTTCTGTTTATTTAGACTCTTTCTCCTCACAACAAAGGGCTTTTCAAGAGAGCCATCTCCCAAAGTGGAGTCGCTCTTTGTCCCTGGGCGATCAACAAAAACCCTCGCAAGTTTGCTGAAGAGGTACACATCTTCTCTTCACTTTGATTAAAATAAATGCTTTAAAGCATCAGTAGTGGAAATGTTCTGGGACCTGCTCTTCAGGTTGCCGTTAAAGTCGGCTGCCCCACCGATGCGTCCATGGGAGCGTGTCTGAAGATGACAGATCCCGTTCACCTGACGAAGGCGGGAGTGCTCAATCTGACCGCCTCTCCTGACAGTAAGCTTCACTCTCGCTTAAATGGTGGAAAACTCATTCATTCTTTAATTTGTTTGTTCAAATGGCAGAGGAGTTACAGTTGTGGTCGGAAGTTTACATACACTTGTAAAAAATATAATATAATGGCTCTACTGAGTGTCCCGTTATTTCTAAAACTCTGATTTTTCTCTGATAGAGTGATTGGAACAGATACTTCTTTGTCACAAAAAACATTCATGAAGTTTGGTTCTTTAATGTCTTTATTATGGGTTAACAGAGAAAAGTGATCACATTTGCTGGGTCACAAATATACATACAGCAACATGAACTAGCAATTTTGGTGACTTAGAAACGTATCAGTGAACTGAGCTTCATAGCATGGCCTCTTAACATCTTGTGAGTGATTATGAGTGACTACAGCGGGTGACTTCTCTTAGGCCAGGTAAATAGGGCTCATTGGATACAAACGCCCACAAACGCTACAATGGGAAAGTCAAAGGAGCTCAGCATGGATCTGAAAAAGCAAATTATTGACTTGAACAAGTCAGGAAAGTCACTTGGGGCCATTTCAAAGCAGCTGCAGGTCCCAAGAGCAACAGTGCAAACTGTTTGTAAGTATAAGGTGCATGGCACTGTTTCATCACTGCCAAGATCAGGAAGAAAACGCAAGCTATCACCTGCTGCTGAGAGAAAATTGGTCAGGAGGGTAAAGAGTGAACCAAGAATCACCAAAAAGCAGATCTGCCAAGAATTAGAAGCTGCTGGAACACAGGTGTTATTGTCCACAGTCAAACGTGTTTTGCATCTCCATGGACTGAGAGGCTGCCGTGCAAGAAGGAAGCCCTTGCTCCAAAAGCGGCACCTTAAGGCTCGACTGAAGTTTGCTGCTGATCACATGGACAAAGATAAGACCTTCTGGAGGAAAGTTCTGTGGTCAGACGAAACAAAAATCGAGCTTTTTGGCCACAATGCCCAGCAATATGTTTGGAGGAGAAAAGGTGAGGCCTTTAACCCCAAGAACACCATGCCTACAGTCAAGCATGGTGGTGGGAATATTATGCTGTGGGGCTGTTTTGCTGCCAATGGAACTGGTGCTTTACAGAGAGTAAATGGGATAATGAAGAAGGAGGATTACCTTCACATTCTTCAACATAACCTCAAATCATCAGCACGAAGGTTGGGTCTTGGGCGCAGTTGGGTGTTCCAACACGACAATGACCCCAAACACACATCAAAAGTGGTAAAGGAATGGCTAAATCAGGCTAGAATAAGGGTTTTAGAATGGCCTTCCCAAAGTCCTGACTTAAACCCCGTTGAAAACATGTGGACAGTGCTGAAGAAACAAGTCCATGTCAGAAAGCCATCAAATTTAACTGAACTCCACCAATTCTGTCAAGAGGAGTGGTCAAAGATTCAACCAGAAGCTTGTGGATGGCTACCAAAAGCGCCTAATTGAAGTGAAAATGGTTAAGGGACATGTAACCAAATGTTAGCACTGCTGTATGTATATTTGTGACCCAGCAAATGTGATCACTTTTCTCTGTTAACCCATAATAAAGACATTAAAGAACCGAACTTCATGAATGTTTTTTGTGACAAAGAAGTATCTGTTCCAATCACTCTATCAGAGAAAAATCAGAGTTTTAGAAATAACGGGACACTCAGTAGAGCCATTATATTATATTTTTTACAAGTGTATGTAAACTTCTGACCACAACTGTAGGTGCCCACCCCAAAACTGGAGGGTTGCAGGTTTGAGCTCTGTCTGTCACAATGGTTGTGTCCTGGGCAACTTAACCCCCCTTGCCTGCTGATGGTGGTCAGAGGGACCGGTGAAGCCTGTGTAAGGCAGCCTTGCCTCTGTCAGTGCGCCCCAGGACAGCTGTGGCTACATCGTAGTTCATCATCACCAGTGTGTGAATGTGTGTTGGGTGCAATGTGAGATGGGCGGTGGCAGAAGTCAGGGACCTTGACGGTCTGAACCTCGGCTACAGAAGCTGGCCCTCGCCATGTGGAATGTCACCTCTGTGGTGGGGTAAGAGCCTGAGTTGGTGGGTGAGGCCGAGGGCTATAGAGTCAGACTCACCCCAACACATCGCTCTTGTTCTGGAACCAGTTTCATCAAGCGGGGTTGGATACTACCACTCTGAAGTTGCCCCCACTGGTGAAAGAGTGGGCAGCCTCCTTCCGCAAACATGTGGAGGGATGGGTCCTGATTGTTGTTTGTGCTTATTCCCCAAACTGCAAGTCAGACTACCCAATCATTTTGGAGTCCTTGGAAGGGGTGCTGGAGAGCACTCCCTTTGTGACTCCTTTGCTCTTCTGGGCAGAAGTCTTCTGTCTGAATCTTCATTTCCTACCCCTGACAGAACTTTGAATGCGCTCCGAGGAGGCAGAGGAAACTGAGTCAGCGTGGGCCATGTTCCGTGCTTCCATTGTCGAGCAGCTGACCAGAGCTGGGGCCGCAGGGTAGTTGGTGCCTGTCGTGGCAGTAACCCCCAAACCAGCTGGTGGACACCAACGTTTAGGGATGCCATCAAGCTGAAGAAGTCGTATTGGGTCTTTTTGGCCTTCTCCAGGTGTGGGTGTCCAGAGGCAGCTATTGGGTACCGGCAGTCCACACGGAAGTAGTAGGAGGAGTTTGGTGAAGTAGGAGGAGTTTGGTGAGGCTATGGAGACTTCATTAAGGCTTCGTTGAAATTCTGGTTCACCATCTGGCGTCTCAGAAGGGTAAAGCAGTACACTACCAACAGTAGAGATGGTCTGCTGCTGATTTCAACTCAGGACGTTGTGGATCAGTGGGTGGAGACCTCTTCAATCCCACGTCTTTCAGCAGTCTCTGGTGCTGAGGTCACCAAAGTGGTCAACAAGCTCCTGAGTGGTAGGGCCCCAGGAATGAGTGAAATCTGCCTGGAGTTCCTTAAGACTCTGGATTCTGTGGAGCCATGTTGGCTAATGCGGCTCTGCAACATTGCATGGACATCAGGGGCAGTTCCACTAGACCGGCAGACCGGCGAGCAGTCATTCATCCACGCACACACGCATTCACATGCTGAAGGATAAGACTACTAGTCAGTGACTCGATGCGATTTGCTGGGTTCCTTATACAGGAAGCATTTACTGATTGGCTTAATGAACTGACCTGTGTTGAATTGTTTACTGTGTGAAGTGAACACGATTTACTGAATGTTCTCCCACATATTTTTGGTGTTACCCATTACTTACATGCTCTTTATCATTTTTGTAAATACCATAAAAAGTGAACAGTCAGCATCATGTAAGGGGACTCGTCTGAACTTTCCAGGCCCTCTAGTGTACAACTTGATCCTGTCTCCCGTTGTCGATGGCGACTTCCTTCCTGATGAGCCTCACAACCTGTTCCACAACACCGCTGCCATCGACTACTTGGCTGGAGTCAATGACATGGACGGACACATCTTCACTGGTTTTGATGTTGCATCAGTAAACTCCCATCTGGTGGATACTCCAACGTGAGTCCAGCTCATAAGATCTGGAACAGGTTTATCCAGCCCACCGTACAGAACTTCTAAAACCTTTTCTTCCTGATTCAGTGAAGATGTGAAGAGGCTCTTGGCTGCTTTGACTAAAGACAAGGGCACGCTTGGCTCTGAGAACGCCTACTCCACCTACACCTATGAATGGGGATCGAAGCCCAGCAGGGAGGCCGTCAAGAAAACCGTCGTGGACATCGAGACGGACTACATCTTCCTGATTCCCACCCAGGCAACCCTTTACCTTCATGCTGCCAATGCCACGTGAGAATATGGTCAACACACACACACACACACACACACACACACACACACACACACACACACACACACACACACACACACACACACACACACACATTCTGTATGTATATATCTATATAGATACACATATGAAACTATAATTGGTTTTGAAGAACTAAACTTCTCGATTTCAGTTTGGAGAATCCAGAAAACAAATATCTGAAAACCTTCCTAGTTTCATTAAAGAGCAAGTCACCCCCAAATCAACTTTATTTTTTCTGATAAACTATATAAATGTGTGTCTAATTGTGCTGCAGACACGTGTAGTCAATAGTTTTGCACTTTAGTACATTTTAGTTAAAATTTAAATAATCTGCCTAAAACTGTCAGTGTTGTGCCGTCGTCAGGTAAAAACTCTGCACTGCATTTGAATTTAAATCTGCCATCGCTATTGGCTAAGAGGTACCCTAGAACGTTAGCAGGTACCATATGATGTCACAATGTCGTTGTGAGCGTGTGTGTGTGTGTGTGTGTGTGTGTGTGTGTGTGTATTTGTTAGCGGCTCCGCCCTCTCGGTCTGCTAGGCAACAGCATCTGTTGCATTTTTCAACAGGAAGTGGGAGTTGAGTAAGAATCTGGTAGGGGGTGACTTGCTCTTTAAACTCTGTATTGAATCCTTTACAGTATGTGAGCTAGTTGTTTATATATTTGTTGTTTTTAACCCAACATTTGCGCTGCCACGTAAACCAAATATTCTAAAGTTGCTCAAGTGTTTCACCAATTATATTAAGCGTGTTCATTTTGTCTTTGTTCTAAACTGATATTACATCTTTTCTTTTAAGACAAGCTCTGTGGTTGTAGTTGTTTCACCAACTGTCTTTGAGAACTGACAAAACAAATTTCCATCTGCAGCAAAATGAAGACGTGCTAGCTGTGTGAAGGAGCTGCGTGTGAGGGGTTGTGTCCCCGTAAAGCCCGCGTCCCCCCGGGCATTCCTTCATGAAACGTATTGAAACGTTTGCACTTTCTCTACTTCTGTGCCTGGATCACAAGGCCTTTCTTCTGTGTCCGTGGAATTCAGATGCTGTTTGGCAAGTAGGAGTTGGAGACCAATTAAACTATTTTGTGACTTTTTAGAGTCAAAACTGCTAACCTAAAATTTTGAGGGCAACAAAATTGCAACCACCACCACCACCACCAGTATGTGGTGGTGAGTTGGCTTTGATGGTGGGGGAGGAAGCCGGTCAGACCTGGCAAGCCCAAACAAATTGTGAGGGTCTGCTGAGAACATCAGTCTCCTGTCAGAGGGAGCTTTAATTCCCAGCTCCGATAGAGCTTCCAAAACGTTCCAGGGGGGGGTGGGGGACATTGATTCTAAGGTTCGAGGCAGCTGACCGGAGCTGCAGATGCAGGGTGGTCGTTGCCTGCCGTTGCAGCAACTCCTGAACCCGCTGGAGGACTGCAGGGTGTGTTCCAGCTACAGGGGGATCGCACTCCTGAGCCTCCCTGGTAAGGTCTGCTGTATACGGGGTTCTGGAGAGGAGGGTTCATCGGCTAGTCGAACCTCAGATTCAGGAGGAGCAATGTGCTTTTTGTCCTGGCCGTGGAACACTGGACCAGCTCTTTACCCATAGGGGGGTTGGGGGGGTTTGGGGGGGTTGTGGCTTTAGAGCAGGGGTGGGGAACCCTGGTCCTCGAGGGCCGGTGTCCTGCATGTCTTTGCTCTAACACTTCTGATTCAGAGGTTGATTCACCTTTTCTGCAGCTCATCAGGCTCTGCAGAAGCCTGTTAATCACCTGCTGATTGAAATCAGGTGTGATGATGCAGGGTTGAAACTAAAATATGCTGGATAGCGGCCCTCGATGGACCAGGGTTCCCCTCCCCTGCTTTAGAGAAAGTGCTGGACCTTGTTTCTTTGGGGATGGGTTACCCTGCCACGCCCTCTGATACGGGCTGTTAGGTCCCTGTATGACCGGTGTCAGAGCTTGGTTCTGTCCCAAGGATCGGGTCTCTGCTTTTTGCAGGTAATGTGGTCCTGCTGGCTTCACTAGAACATGATCTTTCGCTGGAGCGCTTCGCAGCCGAGTGTAAATCAGCTGGGATGAGAATCAGCTCCTCTAAATCCGAGATCATGGGCTTGAGTCGGAAAAGGGTAGAATGCCTTCTCCAGATCAGGAATGAGGTCCTGCCTCAAGTGGAGGAGTTGAAGTATCTCAGGGTCTTGTGTAGGAGTGAGGGAAAGATGGAGCACAAGATCGACAGGCGGATTAATGCTGCACCTGCAGTGATGTGGGCGTTGCACCGGTCTGTCGTGGTGAAGAGAGAGCTGAGCTGGAAGGTGAAGCTCTCGATTTACCGGTTGATCTACGTTACAACCCTCACCTATGGTTGCAAGCTTTGGGTGCTGAACAAAAGAGTAGATCCGCTCCTCCTCCACATCTAGACTAGCCAGTTGAGTTGACTCGGGCGTATAGTTAGTCTGCCTCCTGGACACCTCCCTGGTGAGGTTTTCCGGGAGAAGACCTAAAAGAGGACCCAGGAAATGCTGGTGGGACTGTGTTTTGCAGCTGGCCAGGGGGTGCCTTGGGATTCCCCCGGAGGAGCTGGCCCAAGTGGATGGGGAGAGGGAGTTCTGGGCCTCTTAGGCTGCTGCCCCGTGACCCGACCCTGGATAAGTGGAGAAAAATGGAATGAAACCTTTTGTCTCCAACTAGTTGCCAACCGTCTGAGCACAGCGAGAAACTGATTTAACTCTAACTGGTTAACAGGCTTCTGCAGAGCCTGATGAGCAGATGAGCAAGCACCAACAGCTAGCATTTTTAAATCACGTCTGAAAACTCACTACTTCAACCTAGCGTATACCACATAATTATGAACCTCACTTACATCTGCACTGTTTAAAAATGGACTTTACAATATCAACTTCCGTACTATTGAGGTTCTTTTTAAAAATGTTTTTGAATTTTTTATTCACCCTGTGTCTTATTGATTCTTAGCTGTTAGCTTTGGGAATTTTGTTGTTTTTCCTTTTTATCTTTTATCTGTGTTCGACATGTTTGTATACCGCCGGTTTAATTAACCAACTTTTTAGTGTACAGCGCCTTGTTTGGTTGTAAAGCCTTGTGAATGCGCTTTACAAATAAAATTGGATTGGATTGGAGCTGCTGCACAGGTGATTCAACCTCCGAATCAAGTGTGTTTGAGCAGAGGAACAACTAAAACATGCTGGAGACCGGCCCTCCAGGACCAGCATTGTGAACCACTAGAGGAAATGAGTAGAAATAACAAGTGCAGGCCCTATTCGGGGTAATTCTTTAACGCACGGGTAGCTGAGGACTGCGTTTCTTCAAATTTGAAAGTATTTAAAAAATTAGCCAGAAAAATCTTCTCAAAAATAGTCACAAACTCTTCTCGGGCATGTCAAACTCATCTCAGTTCCCTGTCAATTAAGTCAGATCGTGTGAGAAATGTGAGACTATCTTGAGAGCATTATGAGACCAAGTTGTTCTCAAATTTAGGGTCAATTCTTTACAAACTGAGACATGATTTAGAAAATGTGACCGAAAGAACGAGATCGCGGATACAAGCAGCCGAAATGAGTTTCCTCCGTAGGGTGGCCGGGCTCAGCCTTAGAGATAGGGTGAGGAGCTCGGACATTCGGGAGGGACTCGGAGTAGAACCGCTGCTCCTCCGGATCGAAAGGAGCCAGTTGAGGTGGTTTGGGCATCTGGTCAGGATGCCTCCTGGACGCCTCCCTGGGGAGGTGTTTCGGGCATGTCCTGCCGGCAGGAGGCCCCCGGGTCGACCCAGGACACGTTGGAGAGGTTACATCTCCAATCTGGTCCGGGAACGCCTTGGGGTCCTGCCGGAGGAGCTGGTGGAGGTGACCGGGGAGAGGACGGTCTGGAGCTCCCTAGTTGGGATGCTGCCCCCGCGACCCGGACCTGGATAAGTGGAGGAAGACGACGACGACGTGACCGAATTGTTACGAGAAAATTTGCTCAAACGTCATCACAAGTGTTCCATTTTCAGAGTTTCAGGGGTTTTGTCTTCTGCTCATCTCAGACAGTTACTTAAGGTGAAGGATATTTGCTCCTCATTAGTTTTTTAACCCTCTTATACCATTGTGGGATCAGTGGAGTTTCTATTAAAAACCAGGTCCTCTTGTGTTCCATCACCAAAGATCTGGACGCACCTACTCCTACATCTTCTCTGAACCAAACCGTTTGGGAGGCCTCACCAAGCCCTTCCCCAGCTGGCTGGGAGCTGACCACGCTGACGACCTGCAGTACGTGTTCGGAAAGCCTTTCACCACCCCTCTGGGATACTGGCCGCGCCACCGAGATGTCTCCAGATACATGATTGCCTACTGGACAAACTTTGCCAAAACGGGGTAAAATGCAGTTTGTAGAAAGTGAAATAGAAACTGGCATCACTTCCGTTTCCCATCTCCTTTTCCTGTTTACAGAGACCCTAACAAAGGAGGTCTGAGCGTTCCCGTCAGCTGGCCTGCATTCACTTCCACTGGACATCAGTTCCTGGAGATCAACTCCAAGATGGACAAGGGCTACGTGGGACAGAAGCTGAGGATGCGTTTTGTGAACTTCTGGACCAGCGTCCTGCCCAACCTTCCTACAGTCCATGCAGAATAAAGAGCTCAGAGTGTGAATTTATAAAAAATAAATGCAAGAAAGTTGCTAAAACATTTTCCTGGGTTTTATTTATAGACTCGTGCCTCAATTTGCAAAAAAATATATTTAGTAGGTCATTAAAGTCACCTATTTCTGAGTTAATCATCCATCCATATTGGCCACTTATCGCGGTCGCAGAGGCAGCAGCCCAAGCAGGGAGGCCCAGACTTCCCTCTCCCCAGCCACTTGGGCCAGCTCCTCCGGGGGAATCCCAAGGCGTTCCCTGGCCAGGTGAGAGACATAGTCCCTCCACCGTGTCCTGGGTCTACCTTTAGGTCTTCTCCAGTTTGGACGTGCTGGAAAACCTCACCAGGGAGGCGTCCTGACCAGATGCCCGAGCCACCTCAACTGGCTCATCTCAATGCAGAGGAGCAGCGGGTCTACTCTCAGCCCCTCCCAAATGACCGAACTTCTCACCCTATCTCTAAGGGAGAGCCCAGCCACTCTTCGGAGAAAACTCATTTCGGCCGCTTGTATCCGCGATCTCGTTCTTTCGGTCTCTACCCAAAGCTCATGACCATAGGTGAGGGTAGGAACGTAGATCAACCGGTAAATTGAGAGCTTCGCCTTCTGACTCAGCTCTCTCTTCACCACGACAGACCGGTACAACGCCCGCATCCCTGCAGACGCAGCACCAGTGATTTGGAGGAGCTGCTTCTCATCCCAGCTGCTTCATAGTTGGCTGCGAACCGCTCCGGCGAGAGCCGTTAATCATGAAAGATTAAAGTCAGATCAGCCAAGAACATATATTTTTTTGTGGTTTTATTCAGATAAAGCATCTCAGTGGTTGAGTGGTATGAGTCTACCCTGAGACTGAGAGATCATGGGTCCAAATCTACTGTTAGGTCATACCAAAGACTCTTAAGAATGGGACCCAATGCCTCCCCACTTGATGCTCAGCATGAAGGGCTGAAGTTGGTGGGTTAAACCACCAAATAGTCCCAGCGTGTAGCTGTGTCTGCAGCTCACGGCTACCCCAGGGGATGGGTCAAACGCGGAGAAATCATTTCACCAGTGTGCGACGACTAATGGGACTCTTAAAGGGACAGTGTGTAGTTTGTATTGTCAATCTCTGGAAATATCCATTAAATGTTGTTGAAAATAAATTAAATGATGCCCAGTTGCTGAAAAATATTGGCAGCTTCTTAATATATAAGCATAAAAATCTGGTCTAAAATACACGGGACCCGGTCTAAGTATCTGGGCGATGCCTTATTAGACGTCATGTTTCCTTCTACGGGAGCCCTTGAGGACAAAATGCATTTACTGACCTGTAACGAACGATTACAAAACTTTCACCCTTCTTAAACATTGTTTTACACATTTACCTCTTCACCTGTTGCCAGTAATGAAAGGGAGTCTAATGTGCTTTTTATTTTGCTGAAGTTTGCTCTGCCCTGGGCCTTTTGACCCTAATGGGCATCCGTTGGTAAGGTCTTACTCCAACATCAAAATACTGCTTGCTTGCAACAATTTAGGTATCTACTGCCCCCTATCGCCAGGAAGAACACACATTGTCACTTTGACATTGTTTTCATAGTTAGTTCAGAAAGAAACCAGCAGGTGGTGCTAAAGACTGTTTAACATAACTGTACCAAATACGTTCATAGATTAAAACTCCAAATAATGTTGAATTATGAAAGTTGTTGTGTGTATCATTGCATTGTAGTCTTACCACAAAAACAAGAAATTATTCACGTCAAATTTACAAACAGGAAGTTTAAAAAGCAGCTGATAACTCGTCTGTTCAGGCCGCCTCGTGCACTGATTCTTCATCGCTCCTCCTCATTCAGCTCTTTCTTCCAGTTCTGCCTATCCCGGATCCACCGATCACCCTTTTCTTGTTCATTGTCTTTTTTCCTTTCCTCGCATTTTTTAATCACAATTTTTAACTTTTCCCTATTTTATTTTGTTTTTAATTTATTTATTTATTGTTCATGTAAAGCGTCTTGTGATTTTATCTTGAGAGGTGCTATACAAAAGCTAATTTCTTCTTCAAATATGTTTATAAATGTAATTATTAGTTATCATTTACTAAAATCTTTTTTATTAATCCCAAAAGTACTGGATTGTTCTGATCAATGTTGAATTCCTTCTAAATGTGACTAATATAGTTAAACTTTATTGTCCTTTTCTTCTTATCTTTGACTCAAATTGCACCTTTTCAAAATAAAAGTTGCACTAAATTAAGGCCCTGTCCACACGTAGCCGGGGATCTGCCAAAACGTAGATATTTTTCTACGTTTTGGCCTGTCATCCACACGAAAACGGATCTTTTTAAAAACTCCGGCTAAAGTGAAGGTCTGCGTTTTCTCCGTTTTGGGTGTCTGCGTGTGGACAGACAAAACCGGAGTTTTAAGGTCCGCAACGTCACTTTCCGCGACAAAAAATGCTGACATCACGTGTGCGACCTGTGTTTACACTAGCCGACAGCATGGAAGCCCTCAGAGCTGCGCTCTGTCATTACCCGATCCATCAATTGTCCAAGCGCTTTCTGCTTGTTTGTTTTTAAAAGTGGAATTACTGCTCCTTGCGGAAGACCACAGACGAAGGACGAGGTTAAGAACGGGGGAAGTACTGCCGCCTACAGGTCTGGCATGTCCTTAACAACGCATTTATCCGGGTACGTGTGGACAGAGTTTTTATTTTTTAAATGAGGTGGTGTGGATGCAAGTTTCTGGAGGGGCGGATATTCGTTTTTAAAAAACCCGGCTACGTGTGGACTAGGCCTAAAAGTAAGCAACTCAAACTGACATAATTGACCTTTATGCTTAATCCACATCTGATCTAATTAAAAATAACGTTGAGTTTTTTCTGCAGAGAAGCACCAGCAGATTGTGCAGAATCTCACATGTTTGACTGTTGTGATGAATTATTTATGATCTGTCAATCAACGAATGTTCTCCTGTCAGAGCCTGCACCTTGAAGCTTGCACCTTCTTAATTATGAGTTACTGTTGCGACACCAGACAGGTGATATGTCAAAATCTTGTCCCAAACACTTCGAGTCACATCACGCAATCGTTTTTAGAACAAAGCCATCAGAACGCTGCAAGCAGACGTGGGCCAAATAGTCGGTACCCTTCAGCTGAGGCAGGAGAAAGCCACACGGACAAGAGTCGGTCAGACTGAAGGTTGGACTTTTTAAATTTGGGACAACAAACTAACGACTTTAGCCTAAAGCACGGTGACCTTAAGGAGCTGGTAAACCCAGGTGTGACCTAACCAGCATCACAGGTGTCCTCAGTCTGAGACACAGCCGGTCTGCTTGTGTACAGGTTAAAGGTCACAGAGTGTGTACCGCACTGAACATGGACCACACGGACACCGACGTCTCAGGAGGTTAAAAAGAAAATTATTAATCAACACGTTCAAGTTAGATACCACTTTCTCACTCACTCACTCTCTCTCTCTCTCACTCTCTCACTCACTCACTCGCTCACTCACTCTCTCTCTCACTCGCTCACTCACTCTCTCTCACTCACTCACTCACTCACTCACTCACTGGTTCTCTCACTCTTTCACTCTGTCTCTCACTCACTTTCTCTCTCACTCACTCACTTACTCACTCACTCACCAACTCACTCACTCACTCACTCATTCACTCTCTCTCTCTCTCTCCCCCCCACTCACCAACTCACTCACTCTGTCTGAATGTCTCTCCACTCACTCACTCACTCACTCACTCACTCACTCACTCACTCACTCACTCACTCACTCACTCACTCTGTCTCTCTCTCCCTCCCTTTATGTTAAATGTAACTCTAACAGAAAACAAAGCAGAAGTGACTAGTAGCTAGCTGCTATGCTAACGTGCTAACCATGGCGTAACAGAACAGGAAGTTTGTTTCTTTTATCTCGCAGAACTGAACAAAGATTGCCTTTGTTTAGTTGGCGATAGAAGCTGAGCAGTTTATCATTGAAAACAGAACAACTTATAACTTGTTTCTCCCTAAAACAAACAACAACAAACTCCAGATGTCTTTATTTACGTTTTTTGGCAGAATTCTGTTTGATTATTTTTATTTCTGACTGGTGAAAAGCTGAAAGTCTAAATGAAAAATCTTTGATCTAAAAACACTTTTGACTGGAGTGTAAAAACCAGGCAGAATTATTCTACACCAAGCAGCACGTTTAAATGCTGAAACACGGGAATGAAAATGAACTTTGTCTTCAAACTTCATTTGCAGATGGTTGAATTATTGTTTAATTTGGCGTTCCTGTTTGTGCGCGTACTTCCTGTTTCATCTCCAGGTTTCCTCCTGTTCCTGGTTCCTCATCACTCCTTTGCTCAAACCTTTTCCCTGTTGGCTTCGTTCGTCTGACCTCTGCTCCCGCGAAGCTTTCTTCTTCCGGAATTCTGAATCATCGTTCTTCGATCTGAGGACCTTTGAAATGCGATGTTAAATTATTTATGGAGAAGCTAAATAATATTTCTTGTTTTTGAATCTTCTAACTACTGACATGGATGTTTCAGCAGCGTTGGCACACACACACACACACACACACACACACACACACACACACACACACACACACACACACACACACACACACACACACACACACACACACACACACACACACACACACACTCTCCAATCTGTTCTTGGTGGTGAAACTTAACCTTAATGACAGTTTAATGTCCGTCCATCCTTCCGTTGTCTACTCGCTGGTCCATACCGGCTCACGAGGGAGGGAGCTTAATGTGTCAAATGATATTTTCTGAATACAACAACCCTGCTGAACCTGTGATTTTCCTCATTACCACTAAAACATAATAAATGTGACATAAAGGAGCACACGCTATCATTGTTTGCCTCTGAACTCATAATAAAAGGGGATTTTTGAGGGTTTGCACCAGTTCAGCGATGCTGCGTTTGGGTGTGTGATCGTGAGTTCAGATCATCGAGTTTCTGGGATTGTTGCCCGACCCTCGAGGCCAAACTGCTCTTCAGTCTGGACGGGATCCAGCGGTGTTCTGGGATTCCAGTGGGGTTCTTTCAGAAATGTTTGACAATGAAGGTCTTACCTGCTGCAGGCGGCTCTCTGAACACCCTCATTGTGAAGAAACAGATGTGTCCTGACCTGATTGAGCGCTAACAGCTAGTGAGACGGACCATACATTTATTTTTCATCCATCCATCCATGTTCATCCACTTAACCGGGGTCTTGTCGTGGGGGCAGCAGCCTAAGCAGGGAAGCCCAGACTTCCCTCTACCCAGCCACTTGGGCCAGCTCCTCCGGGGGAATCCCAAGGCGTTCCCTGGCCAGCTGAGAGACATAGTCCCTCCACCATGTCCTGGGTCTTCCTTTAGGTCCCCTCAGGTTGGACATGCCCGGAAAACTTCACCAAGGAGGCGTTCAGGCCACCTCAACTGGCTCCTCTCGACATGGATGAGCAGCAGATCTACTCCGAGCCCCTCCCGGATGACCGAGCTTCTCAAGCTTTATTTATTTAGTCTGGCTTGCCAGGCTAGTTTTTTTGCTGCAGCTTGGATCACATTTCTTTATTTTTAAGTATTTTAGTTTTTTAAGATTTTTTTCTTACTTTTGCAGTCATCATTATTATTATTTAGTTTTTTTTTCATTTAGGACAAACCAGAGCTGTGATATAATGTAAATTTACTACATTTACAATAAAAATATGAAGATTAAGGTGAGAGTGGGACGTAATAAGTTTTTACTGAAGCATTTCCACTTTCTCTTCGGTTCAGTTTCCACACTCAACAAAAATATGAACGCAACACCTTTGTTTCTGCTCCGATTTTTCATGAGATGGACTTAAAAATCTAAAATTCATTCCAGATACACAATATTACCATTTCTCTCAAACAATTATCACAAATCAGTCTAAATGTGTGATAGTGAGCACTTCTGCTTTGCTGAGATAATCCATCCCACCTCACAGGTGTGCCACATCAAGATGCTGATCCGACATCATGAGTAGTGCACAGGTGTACCTTATACTGCCCACAATAAAAGGCCATCCTGGAATGTGCAGTTTTGTCTCGCAGCAAAATGCCACAGATGCCACAAGCATTGAGGGAGCGTGCAATTGGCATGCTGACAGCAGGAATGTCAACCAGATCTGTTGCTCGTGCATTGAATGTTCATTTCTCCACCATAAGCCGTCTCCAAAGGCATTTCAGAGAATATGGCAGTACATCCAACCGGCCTCACAACCGCAGACAACGTGTAACCACACCAGCCCAGGACCTCCACATCCAGCAGGTTCACCTCCAAGATCGTCTGAGACCAGCCACTCAGACAGCTGCTGAAACAATTGGTTTGCATAACCAAACAATTTCTACACAAACTGTCAGAAACCGTCTCAGGGAAGCTCAACTGCATGCTCGTCGTCCTCATCGGGGTCTTGACCTGACTCCAGCTCGTCGCCGTAACAGACTTGAGTCTGGCACGTTGGAGAGGTGTTCTCTTCATGGATGAATCTCGGTTTACATTGTTCAGGGCAGATGGCAGACAGCGTGTGTGGCGTCGTGTGGGTGAGCGCTTTGGATTGAGTGGCCCATGGTGGTGGTGGGGTTATGGTATGGGCAGGCATCTGTTATGGACGAAGAACACAGGTGCATTTTATTGATGGCATTTTGAATGCACAGAGATACCGTGATGAGATCCTGAGGCCCATTGTTGTGCCGTACATCCATGAGCATCACCTCATGTTTCAGCAAGATAATGCACGGCCCCATGTTGCAAGGATCTGTACACAATTCTTGGAAGCTGAAAATGTCCCAGTTCTTGCATGGCCAGCATACTCACCGGACATGTCACCCGTTGAGCATGTTTGGGATGTGCTTGACCGGCGTATACGACAGCGTGTACCAGTTCCCACTCATATCCAACAACTTCACACAGCCGTTGAAGAGGAGTGGAACAACATTCCACAGGCCACAATTGACAATCTGATAAACTCTATGCGAAGAAGATGTGTTGCACTGCATGTGGCAAATGGTGGTCACACCAGATACTGACCGCTTCTGAGTCCCCAGACCCCCAATAAAGCAAATAACTGCACATTCCAGGGTGGCCTTTTATTGTGGGCAGTCTAAGGTACACCTGTGCACTACTCATGATGTCAGATCAGCATCTTGATGTGGCACACCTGTGTGGTGGGATGGATTATCTCAGCAAAGCAGAAGTGCTCACTATCACACATTTAGACTGATTTGTGAACAATGTTTGAGAGAAATGGTGATATTGTGTATCTGGAATGAATTTTAGATCTTTGTCAGTCTCATGAAAAATTGGAGCACAAACAAAACCCTACAATCAGCTGAGCTGCAGCTAAAGAGCTGATAAATGTTCGTGTTTCGTCACACGGGTGCTTTTGATAAAAGATAGAAAAGTTCTGCTCTTATCAGTGAGGATGCAGGACATGAAGGTGCTGTGGACTTTAGATAAAGTTCAACCAAACATGAAAATAAAATAGGCTTGATTTAAATATCAGTTTTAATGACAGATGCGTGTTTGTTTTTATTGGTTTAGTGTAAAACAATCGTTTTCTTAATTCGATTTTAGGGGAAAGTAAAAAGTTAGTTGTGTGTCTGACTGGTGGACGGAAATAAATATTTGTCTAATCACTGAATAACGTCATGGTGTAAACACGTTTGTTTTGAATTTCAATCTCTTTAAATATGTCTTCATGATGAAATGTGATTTTAAAAGTAAAAATAAAACTGCTGAGCTTGTCACAATAAAGGCACATTTGATTCTAAAACCAGTAAACTTATTTCATTTTCATTTTTACTTTAAAGCGTTATTTCCTGTTTCACTAAAACAAGAACCCAGCGTCTTCAGCCTTATGACCTGTTTGTCTGCGGAACCCATCACGCACCCCCACCCCCTCCCAGGTGGGTGTTCCGGAGCAGCAGGTGGGAACCAGGCGTGGCTTTCTAACAAATCCGTCTCTTAACTGAAAGTTTGATGGTGAGCTGGTGAGTGTCAGGGACAACATGTCCAGCATGGCTGCTGCTGCTGCTGTTTTCTGTCTGTGTGTGGGTATCACGCTCATTACGCACAGCGCGGAGTCCCGCATCCCCCTGACGCAGGTGGATGCGGGACTCCGCGCTGTGGCGCAGCGGGCCATGCTCTGTGTCGTTGTCGGAGTGTCCCTCCTGGTTGCGGGCTGGCTGTACCGGCTGCTCTTCTGCCCGCTGGAGCTCGTCAGACCGCTCCATGATGTGGGATACGTGGCCGAGGACGGTCGCTCCAAAGCGCGGGCTGCGAACGAGATGCGCCGGAGGAGGAGAGTCGGAGACGTCCCTCCGGTTTATCCGAACGGCTGGTACCGGGTCCTGCACTCCCCCATGCTGCACAGAGGAGAGGTCAAAAGTGTCTCCTTTCTAGGTATGACAACTTTTTATTTCCCACTAAAACCCACTTGCAACAATAATAATAACGAACAAACTCAAAAAGGTTTTATTTTATTTTATTTTATCCATCCATCCATCCATTTTCATCCGCTTATCCGGAGTCGGGTCGCAGGGGCAGTGAGAGCGAGAGGCCCAGACTTCCCTCTCCCCAGCCACTTGGGCCAGCTCCTCCAGGGGAATCCCAAGGTGTTCCCTGGCCAGGTGAGAGACATAGTCCCTCCACCGTGTCCTGGGTTTAACTTTAGGTCTCCTCCTGGTTGGACGTGCCCGGAAAACCTCACCAGGGAGGCGTCCAGGAGGCATCCTGACCAGATGCCCGAGCCACCTCAACTGGCACCTCTTGATGTGGAGGAGCAGCGGGTCTACTCCGAGCCCCTCCCGGATGACCGAGCTTCTCACCCTATCTCTAAGGGAGAGCCCAGCCACTCTGCAGAGAAAACTCATTTCGGCCGCTTGTATCCGCGATCTCGTTCTTTCGGTCACTACCCAAAGCTCATGACCATAGGCGAGGGTAGGAACGTAGATCGACCGGTAAATCAAGAGCTTCTCCTTCTGACTCAGCTCTCTCTTCACCACGACAGACCGGTACAACGCCCGCATCACTGCAGATGCAGCACCAATCTGCCTATCGATCTCACGCTCCAGTTTTCCCTCACTCGTGAACAAGACCCCGAGATACTTAAACTCCTCCACTTGGGGCAGGACCTCATCCCTGACCCGGAGAAGGCATTCTACCCTTTTCCGAATCAAGACCATGGTCTCAGATTTAGAGGAGCTGATTCTCATCCCAGCTGCTTCACACTCAGCTGCGAACCGCTCCAGCGAAAGCTGAAGATCACGTTCTGATGAAGCCAACAGGACCACATCATCTGCAAAAAGCAGAGACCTGATCCTCAGGCCACCAAGATCCCCTCCACACCTTGGCTGCACCTAGAAATCCTGTCCATAAAGGTTATGAACAGAATCGGTGACAAAGGGCAGCCTTGGCGGAGTCCAACTCTCACTGGGAACGAGCCCGACTTACTGCCGGCAATGCGGACCAAGCTCTGACACCGGTCATACAGGGACCTAACAGCCCGTATCAGAGGGCCCGGTACCCCATACTCCTGGAGTACCCCCCACAGGGCCCCCCGAGGGACGCGGTCAAATGCCTTCTCCAAATCCACAAAACACATGTAGACTGGTTGGGCAAATTCCCACGCACCCTCCAGGATCCCCCTAAGGGTATAGAGCTGGTCCAGTGTTCCACGGCCAGGACCAAGACCACATTGCTCCTCCTGAATCTGAGGTTCAACAATCCGACGGACCCTCCTCTCCAGAACCCCTGAACAGACCTTACCAGGAAGGCTCAGGAGTGTGATCCCCCTGTAGTTGGAACACACCCTGCGGTCCCCTTTTTATATAAGGGTACCACCACCCCGGTCTGCCAGTCCAGTGGGACTGCCCCTGATGTCCACGCGATATTGCAGAGCCACATCAGCCAACACAGCCCCACAACATCCAGAACCTTAAGGAACTCCGGGCGGATCTCATCCACCCCTGGAGTCTTGCCACAGAGGAGCTTTTTAACCACCTCAGTGACCTCAGCACCAGAGATTTGAGAGGCCAACCCAAAGTCCCCAGACTCTGCTTCCTCACTGGAAGATGTTTTCAGTGGGATTGAGGAGGTCTTCGAAGTATTCTGCCCACCGATCCACAACGTCCTGAGTAGAGGTCAGCAGCACACCGTCCCCACTATAGATAGTGTTGGTAGCACGCTGCTCCCCCCCTGGTCTGACCGGCATCCTCCCCCACCATCTGAGCCAACTCACCACCAGGTAGTGATCAGTTGACAGCTCCGCCCCTCTCTTCACCCGAGTGTCCAAGACATGCGGCCGCAGGTCAGATGAAACAACAACAAAGTTGATCATCGAGCTGCGGCCTAAGGTATCCTGGTGCCAAGAGCACATATGGACACCTTTACGTCTGAACATGGTGTTCATTATGGACAATCCATGACTGGCACAGAAGTCCAATAACAAAACACCACTCGAATTCAGATCAGGGGGATGTTCCTCCCAACCACACCTCTCCAGGTCTCACTGTCATTGCCCACGTGAGCGTTAAAGTCCCCCAGCAGAATGAGGGAGTCACTGGAAGGAGCGCTTTCCAGCACCCCCTCCAAGGTCTCCAAAAAGGGTGGGTAGTCTGAACTGTAGTTTGGTGCATAAGCACAGACCACTGTCAGAACCCGTCCCCCCACACGTAGGCGGAGGGAGGCTACCCTCTCATTCACTGGGGTAAACCCCAACGTACAGGCACCAAGATGGGGGGCAACTATGCCCACCCCTGCTCGGCGCCTCTCAGTGGGAGTGGTAGAAAGTCCAACCCCTCTCAAGGAAACTGGTTCCAGAGCCAGAGCCATGCGTTGAGGTGAGTCCGACTATATCTAGTCTGAACCTCTCAACCTCACACACCAACTCAGGCTCCTCCCCCACCAGAGAGGTGACGTTCCATGTGCCAAGAGCCAGCTTCTGTAGCCGAGGATCAGACCGCCAAGGTCCCCGCCCTCGACTACCACCCGTCACACACTGCACCCGACCCCTTTGGCCCCTCCCACAAGCGGTGAGCCCATGGGAAGGGGGACCCATGTTTCCTCTACGGGCTGTGCCCGGCCGGGCTCCATGGGTGAAAGCCCGGCCACCAGGCGCTCGCCAAGGTGCCCCACCTCCAGGCCTGGCTCCAGAGGGGGGCCCCGGTGACCCACGTCCGGGTGAGGGAACATGGTTTCCATTTATATAATTCATCATAAGAGGTCTTCGGGCTGCTCTTTGTCTGATCCCTCACCTATTTATTTCATTTTATTTATAACAAGCTGAGTCAGATGAAATAAAGCTGTCAGCAGCATCATTTAAAAGTTGGAACCAGAATGCAGCTAACTATATTTAGAGTGAAACCTGCTTGGCAGCAGTTTTTACCCTGCAGCAGAATTAATCCGGCTGAGTGTCAAAGATGCATCAACAATCAGCACGATCAGGTTAGATGGTGAGAGACAATAATCTGAAAACTCTGATTTTCTGTCTCAGTCCATGAATGCACCACTGCTAATCCAAATCAGTATCGGCCCCCAGAACCAGAATCAGTGTGTTTTTAACCCTTTAACGTCCTCACCCTGAGAAAAGCAACAAATCTTTTTCTTTTCTAAAAAAAAATGTATAATTTGGGGTCAAGATGGTCATAATAATAATAATAATAATAATAATAATAATAATAATAATAATAATAATAATAATAATAATAAAAGAAGAAGAAACAATCTAGTACCTCTCAAGATAAAAATCACAAGGACAAAAATAAAAAATTAAAATAAAAAATGATTTAAAATATAATTGAGAGAAAAAGAAACAAATAATAATTAAAATAATGTTAAAGTTATAGTAAGAGACTCTAATGATTTATTTAAACATCTCTTAAATTTGTAAGTATTACATTTTCATTTTAAAAAATGCATTCATTTGTTTATTCATTTAATAACATTTTCCAAAAACCACATGTCTGTCAGTAGGATCACATGTTCATCAGATGAAAGGCTGAGACACCCTGGACATGTGTGCAGTCCATCATAGGGACACACAACCATTCACACACTCACACCCATAGAAACCATTTAGTCACCAAATCAATAAATACATCTGTGGAGACAAAACATCAAAGTTGGAAGAGCGAATGAAGGCAGCAGAAGAGTCATGATACTGTTAGCCAATCAGAGGCACTTGCCCCCTGCAGGCAACAGGAGCGCCACAGCTGTTTCTCTATAGTAAAGGACTCACAATGCCGTAATTTTTTTAATTTATTTCATTTATTACCAAAAAAACAACAAAAAAAAAAACAATACTAGCAAATAAAATGAGGTTTCTCAAACCAAGAAAATGAAAAGGGAACAGAAAGAAGAAAATGTATGTTATCTGTCCCGTTTTAACTAAAATGGCATCTTTACAATGAAATAACAATAATTATAAATGAGCCTATACAAAGTAATTGCTTGACTGGTTAGCTAACCCGAGTTCAATTTCCAAAGAAGAACGAAAAAATTAATAGTAATAATAATTCAAAAAGCAACAGGATTTTTGCACATATACCCGTTCATACATATATACGTTAAAGTGCATCGCATGCCCATATGGTCGCACATACTTCATATATACATACACATATAGATATGCACGTATCCACTACATATACACAAAAACAAACATACATACATATTTATACAAACACACATGAATATACCTACACACATCTTCTATAGCTTTGTTTATTTATTTATGTAGGTATTTTTTAATATAATTGATTTGCACGTATATGATTCCAGTATTTTATTTTTAATTAGTTATTTGAAAGTAAATATTGTTTTTGCATCCTTGATTACATTACCTAGCTTATTCCATATTTAACTCCATATATAGAGACACAGCGCTCCTTTATAATTATTCTATGCTTAGGTATTGTAAATAATTCATGTCCTTTTAGTTCATATTTAGTCTGTCTTTTTATAAATCTTCTAGGAAGATTTTTAGGAAGGTTTTTTTTGTTTGCATTATACATAAATTTAGAAATATTGTCGTCCACTAGGCCATAGAATTTTAATGTTTTTGTTTTTATGAATAACGGGTTAGATGGATCTCTGTAATTACTCCTTGTAATGATTCTTATTGCTTTTTTTTGCAATATATAGATAGAATTAGTATAACCTTTGTATGTTGTACCCCAGATTTCTATACAATAGTTTAAATATGGTGCAATAAGTGAATTATATAATACATATAGGGAGCTATCATCCAGTGACCATTTTACCCTATGTAACATTGCAATTGTTTTTGCTATTTTAGTTTTCACATTGTTTATTTGTGGCTTCCAACATACATTTTCATCGATTATAACTCCCAAAAATTCTACTTCTTTTACTCTTGTAATATTAACATCATCTATATTTAA